TTAAAAAAAAAAAAAAAGAAAAAAAATGGGGGGGGGGGGCCCAAAAAAAAATTTTTTAGAAAAAAAAAAAAAAAAAAAAAAAAAAATTTTTTTTTTTTTTTAAAAAACCCCCCAAAAACGGGGGGGGAAAAAAAAAAAAAAAAAAAAAAAAAAAAAAAAAAAAAAAAAAAAAAACAAAGACAATGAAAAAATTATAATATTAATGTAGTTTATTTTTTTTTTCTATTTTTGTTAATTTATTCATATAATCACATTAGATATAAATAGAGAGAAAAAAAAAGTGTTGAAAATAATAGAAAACCAAATTGCTTTTAACATTTCGCTCACACTGCATATATTAATTAATTTTGTAAAAATATTATTAAATTTTTTTTATATACATTACAAAACGGATGAATTTATAAAATGGTTTTATTTTTGTATTTAAATATAACAAAATGCCATTCCTATCCCTAAAAAAAAAACATTAATTTTAACACACACAAACACTGACTAAAAAAATTAAAAAAAAAAAAAAAATTAAAAAAGGTGAAAGGGTGATATGACAAAAAAAGAAAATTTTATTGCTCCATACATTGTAATTCCTTGTTAAAATATTATTGCTATTAATCTATATAAATTACTTTGTTTTTTTCCTTTTTGAATGTACTTTTTATGTGTGTTAAAGAGTTTTTTTTTTTGCATAGATCTATATAATTTTTGGTATTTACCTTGTAAATAAAACAAAAAAATAATACATCTAATATTATTTCTATATTGGGTATGCGATTATTGTGAGGGCAAAGTAATTGTTTTTTGTGAGTGCAGTGGATAATTTAAAAAAATGTTTTTTTTTATGGGTGGGGGTTTATGTTTTTTGGTGTGTGAGTTTTTTATGATAATTTATTAAAATTTATATAATATATTATATAAATAGATATAATGCTTTAGTGAAACTTTTCCTCTATCTATACCAACTATATTTAAAATCTTATTAAATAAAGGTATGAGTTTACTAATTGATAAACCACAAAAAAAACTACAATTCCCCCCCTTAAAATTTGAATAAATCTATGCAAAAATAAAATAATTGTTTTATTTAGATATAATTGGCATTATATTTAATAAAAAAAATTATTTTTATTGTTTCAATTATTAATATAATTATTATTTTTATTATTATTATTATTTTTATTATTGTTATAATTATTTATTATTTATTATTATTTATTAATAATGATAATTAGACATAATTTGAAACGATCATGATTATTTCCATATTTTTTAATCATGTTTGGATCTCGTGATCATTTTTTTTTTTTTGTTTTATTTTAATAATTGGTTTAAACCAAGATATTTTAGTTTTGTTTTATTATAAAATTAAAAAAATCTGTTTTGTGTTGTATTTATTTTCTTTTTTTTTTAAAAATGGTTTTTTGGTAAAAAAAAATAAAAAAAAATAAAAAAAAAAAAGAAAAAAAATTAAAAAAAAGATTTTTTTATTTTTTTTCTTTTTGATTTAATTTTTTATTTTATTTACTTTTATTCATCAAAATAATCCTTTTTGTTTTTATTTAATCTATTAAATCTATTTGTTTTATTTGTATTTTGTGTAACAATAAAAAAAAAAAAAAAAAGAAAAAAAATTAAAATTAAAATTATGAAAAATTTATTAATTTTTTTAATTTTAATATTAATTGCTAAAATTAAAGCCGATGGCGCCACTTACTATATTTCATTAAATAGTACTAGCCAGAATAGTTTATGTGGTGATACACAAGAGAATGCATGTCCATCCATTTTATCTGCATTAAATTTAATTCCAGTCAATGGTAATGGTGGTAATAATGTAACATTTATTTTAGATGATGGAACCTACAGCGGAGCCAATAACACCAACTTAAATATATTTGGATACAGTATAGTTGTTCAGCCATTAAATGAGGAGTCACCAAAAGTATTTTTCAATGGATCCATCGGAACCAGTTCGGCAGTTTTCATTAATTTCGATAGAGGAAACACACCAAATGCCCTCACTCAATTAGTTGTCAAAAACATTGTATTTCAATCATTTGGTAATGCAAATTTAAAGGGTGGTATATTTAATTCAACTACAGTTAATTCAAACTTTGTTTTAGAAATAAATGGTTGCACTTTTAATAGTAACACTGCTTTGCAAGGAAGTGTTGTTAACATTTACAATGATCAAGATAATCAATATGACGTTAATATTACCATCAGTAAATCAACATTCAATTCAAATAATTTCGTTCTTTTCATCTCTGAATTTGCTAATCTATCAATTGATTTATGTTCATTCGATGGATCATCAACATCACACAAGAACCAACTAGCATCAGTACTATACATGAACAGTGGCTTGTTACAAATCACCAACACTAACATCACTTCATCATCAACTTCCACTCCAATCAATCTATATGGTTTATATGGTCAACATTTTTCATTAATCAATAATTGTATTTTTGACTCAAATTCCATTGGGGACGATGGTGGTGTTTTCACAATCTCTTTTACTTTATTAAATATCACAAACTCAGTTTTCAGTAATAATGCTGCTATAAGTGGTGCTGCTTTATCTGCTCATGGCTCTCAAACTTATGTTAAGATTTTTAATTCGAAATTTTTAAACAATAGATCAAATGGTAAAGGTGGTGCAATTAATTTAAGAGTAAGTAGTAGTTTTTTAAAAAATGTATTGATTATATATAAATTAATAACATATATATAATTATTTTAGAGTTCAGTATTTTCAGATATTTCAAATTGTGAATTTTCTGGTAATTCTGCTTCAAGTGGTGGTTCAATTTCATTGGAATATACAGAGTTATTAAATTTAAATAATTGTTCATTCGATAACAATGATGTTTCCCTTAAAGGTGGTGCAATTTTCACATCTTTTGGTGACATTAATTTCAATCAAGTCACTATCACAAATAGCAATGCTTCAGAAGGTGGTGCAGTTTACTGTGCTGCATCCAAATTAAATATGCCAAATAACACTGTACTTGCAAATAATATCGATAGTGGTAATGGAACTGATGCCTATGAATACAATTTCGGTTTCAAAGTCTCTGTCAATAGCTATAATATCTACTGTGCTTTAGATCCAACATACACCTACTGTGATATCTCTGGTGATGAACCTTATAGTTCTCTTTGTGGCTATGTAGAGATTAATGATAAAGATAGTGGTCTTTCAAAAGGTCAATTGGCTGGTATTATTATTGGCGCTACCCTTGGTGCTGCAGTTATAGCTTTCGGTGCTGCTTGGTTAATATCCAAAACTACTATTGGCGAACACTATGGCTCTTTAGTTAAACATAGATCAAATTCTCATGACGAAGAATCTGTAAATTAAGATTGGTCAAAAAAAAAATTATTTATTTATTTATTTATTTATTTATTTATTTATTCATTTATTGTATTTTAAGAAAATAAAATATTTTAAATCATTAAAATCCTATTTATTAATTTATTAATTTATTAATTTATTTATTTATTTATTTTTTTATTTACTTCAAATCAAAATAATTATTAAAAAAAGATACCGAATTCGTAAAAAGTAAATTATTTAGTGAATTTATTTATATAAATAGTTTGATTTTTTTTTTTTAAGAAATATTTTGATTACTCTATTGGCGCAGGTGTTGGCCGTTGAGTATTAGATCATTTGAGTTTAAATGGACCAATTTAAAACCATAGTTACAAAGAATAAAAAAGAACCCCAATGTTCGATTTCGGCTTTAAGATGTGTTGATACTGAAAAAGAATATTCATCTTCAACTTCTTTAACCTATAAACCTTCAGCATTAGCTACTCTTTTATAAATTATTAATGAAATAAATTATTATATATTTTATTTATTATGTATAAATATGATTGTGTAAATTGCTTACAATTAGCGATTTGGCTGGCTCTATTTCTTTAAGACATATTGTGAATGTGTCATTCCTTTCTAATCTGTCCCTTTCCAATTTTTCTTTATTTTAATTTAGTTTCTTCTTCTCTTTCTTTTTGTTTTTATATGTTACTATTATTGTTATTGTTTTTTATATTTTATTTGATATCATCTGTTTTTGAAGTTAAGTTAGCAAAATATTTATTAACTAAATAAAATAATGAAAAACTGATGATAGCAACTAAAATATAAAAAACAATTAAAAAATAATTCATTTTTTATGGTAATTAATAAAGAGTTATGTGAAATAGGATTTGGCGTAGGGGTAAATTATTTTATATATTTATAAATATATAAAATTATTATTGCTATTATTAAAATTTATTATATGTGGAATTTTTTATTTTTTATTTTTTATTTTTTTTATTTTTTTTTTTTATTTTTTTTTTATTACTTTTTGTTTTTTGGTTGTTATTTATTTTTAAATATGGAGCTTATTATTTTTATTTAATTATATTAAATTTGTCCATCATTTAATGATATATAGAATAATAAATGATCAATTAATTAATTAATTAATTTTTTTTTAAAAGAAAACTGGGTATCATTTAAATGAGAATTTAATCAAATTTTCAAATCAAATAATATTTTTAGATATAATGCTCAATGAAATAAGAAAGGTAAAAACTAAGCTACAACAATATAAATATAATATATATATTCAAATAAAAAACTTTATTTTTTAAAAATTAAAAAAAAATTATATTATTTAAACAAAACTCTTTTTTATTTTTTATTTTTTTATTTTTTTTTTTTTTATTTTTTTATTTTTTTTTTTATTAAAAACTCATTAGTATTTTTTATTCCATATTAAATATACCTTTAACTACCCTATTTAAAATAAATATATTATAGTATTAATTAACATTCAAGCAAACAAATTATTAGGTAATTATATATATATATATATTATATGATAAAAAAAATATTAATGGTCTAATCCTTTTGCATACAGCTTAAATATATATATATTAAAAAAAAAACCTTGTAAATTAAAAAAAATCATCACACTTTATTTTTTTACACCATTTTAAATAATAATAAAAAAATGGAATATTATTTATTAGAAACTGCTGTCCTTTTTGTTGTCTTCATTTGTTTTTATTTTTACTTTGGCACCAAAGACAACACTAATAAGGGCACCGACAGAGATGACAGCCCAAAACAACATAATTCCGTTCCACAAAATCAAAATGATAATAAAACTTGGGCACAATCGCAACCACCATTTTCGGGACCAAATCTAAATAGTTATGCTTGGGCACAACCACAAAACAAATTGCCTCCAAATTTCTTCCAACAAAATCATTTTGATTTTAAAACTTGGGCACAATCTCAACCATTACCCCCAAATTTCTTCCAACAAAATGATTTTGATTTTAAAACTTGGGCAGAATCTCAACCATTCCCCCCAAATTTCTTCCAACAAAATCAAAATGTTAATTGGTTTGAAGAATAATACAGGGCAAAATCAAACAATCAAAATAATACCACCAACAGGACCATCACCATCAACAGGACCATCACCATCCAAATACCCATCCCATTTTGAAAAAGAATCTCGTTATTATTCTTCCGCTGCCCCATCATCGTCATCAAGATTATCCCAATACCCATCTCACAAACAACCATAAAAAAAAAGTAAAGATCTTTATTTTTTGCTAATATATAAACTATTTATTAACATTGTTTTATATTAATTATTAAATATAGATATCTCATTTCCACCCTCAAATCCAAGACCAACACCACAACAAACAGTACAACCAACTCCAAAACCAACATCAAGAGCTAGAGCAAGATCAAAACAAACTCCAACTCTATTATTTAGTTTACCATCACCTCAACCAACACCAAGAACAAGATCCAAACCAAGACCAAAACCTCAACCAACAATAGTACCAAGATCAACCACCATTCATTTTTAACCAATTAGATTTCAAATAGAGAATTATCAATTAGCAACATTTATAAAGTTTCATCACAATAAGTTTTAGATCAAAATCTCTACCAAATTTTCTATGGCCAAGTAAATATGGTAGAACATCAATCTGGAAAACAAAATCTAGGAGCTTAAATTTATTATTGTACAACCATGATCAATCCAATAGATATTAAATCTAAACGCGAATTGCACCATTTCCACAGATTATCATGATTCAATTAAAATGTATAAAAAATTATTTTCAACTCAATTAATCTTCTCGAAATATTTTCAGTAATAGTAAACCGAAACATCAAACATCAATGTTGTCATCATAAAAATAAATAAATAATAAAAATTAAAATAAAATAAAAATAAAAATAAAATAAAAATAAAATAAAAATAAAAAAATATCTTTTTTATTTTTTTTAAGAAAGAAAGTGTCAATAAATGTTACATTTATCCATTTTCGGATATTATTATTATTTTTGATTAATAAATGGTTATCAGCATAATCTATCCAAAATAAAAAATAATTAAAAAAAATAATTTTATTTTTAAATTAAAATTTTTTTAAAATTATTTTTAAAAATATTATTTTTTTAAACACACACCGATAATAAAATGTTTTAAAATATTTTTGATTGTGTAGGTGATGGTAGTATTTAAAAGTTTTTAAAGAGTAGTAATAATTTGTTTTTTTTTTTTTTTTAAAATTTTTTTTTTCTGCTTTAAAAATGGAGTTTAGAAAAAAAAAAATTATTTTTTTAGTTACACGTAATATCAAAATATAGAATGAAAGTATTTGCTTTATTAGTTATTATCTTGGGCTTTGTTTCAAATTGTATGGGTGATACAGACTTTGCTATTTGGAATAAAGATAGCCAAACTGCTGCTGCTGGTCTCTATGACTTTGCCAATATCTACAATACTACCGAAAAATACACTTTATCTGGTTACCAACACATCAATACTACCAATCAATACTCCACTTATAATGCCGTTACTAGAGTTATTTCATTCTTTGCCACTTCATTAGTAAGATCTTTTTCATTTTATTTTTTTAAATTTTTTAGTAGAGATTAAAAATTATCTTAATTCTCAGTTTTTACCCATTATCGTTATCTTATTCATTTAAAATTTTTTTTTAAAAGTTATCTCTTTTTTTAAAAAAAACTATCTCTTTTTTTAAAAAAAATTATTCATTTTTATCGATTTTTAAAATAGAGGTTGAAAATTATCTTTATCGTTATCCTTTTTTGTATCATTTTAAAATTTTTAGATTGTTAATTTTTTTTTTTTTTTTTTTTTTTTTTTTTTTTTGGCTGATAATCATATTTATTTAAACTCATTAAATGTCGATACTTGGGTTGCTAACCAAGTAAATATTGATTTCTATCCAACTAAATTCACTGTTTTATCAATTGAATCATCACAAACTACCAACGATACTGATTTATTCCTTGTTATGTCAGTTAATCCAACTACCACTCAAAATGAATTCATTGTTACTAAAACGAATGCTGCTACTGGTATTTATAACATTTACGATACCGTTCAAATGACTTTTGCTTCTGCCTCATATGACCAAGGAAATAAATTATTCGTTGTCATCGTAAACAACGGTACCAACAACATGGTTAGTACTTATGATATTAACGGTGTTTTCGTTCGTTCAAGAGTATACACCATCGGTAATGTCAACTCAAATTATAAAGCCACATCATTACCATACAATTTAGTCTATCTTTCATCCTACTCTGCTTTCTACATGAATATTGACTTAAACGGTCGTCCAGAAATTTTCCTTCTCTACGCATCAACCCAACAATTCTATAACAAAGCTTGGTTACAAAACACTCCATACTACGTTAAAACTGCTAATGCAATCGGTCAATCAAATGGTTACATTTATCAAGAAACCAACAGTAACTCAAAATCATACATCCCCTAATTGGACTTTGTGCAGCACTATAGGAAAATATTCTTTCAACTAAAATCATTAAATAGTTTTTGGTATCCGTTCGAAATATTAGGTGGAAATTTCATCTCATTTAAATTTAACACTAAAACACTTAAATTACTTAAAAACACTTAAAACAATTATGAGAACACTGAAATATACTTTATTTATTATTTATCTTTATTACTTGTTTAAACATATATATAACTAACTAAAATAAACTAAGAAACTCTAAAGTTTTAGACTGAGGACTTGAGGTATTTATACTGAATGAGATTGGTTCTAGAAGCTAATTCTTAAGTATTTTAAATACTGACATTGGTAGTTATTATTTAAAAAGCAGTTACAAAATACTGGAATTGGCAGTTATTAAAAAGCAGTTATAAAATACATTTTTACTTAAAGATATAGACTATTGATTCATTACAATTAAATGTGATATAACAACAATTTTAAAATCAATTTAAATTTATTATAATAAGCATAAACATATATCACATTTATTGGAAAAAATCACACATATATCATTTAATATTTATCATCATATTTTGACACATTTTTAAATTTATTATTTTTTTAATTAATTTTATTTTTTTAAAAATAATATTTTTCAATATAAATTAAAATTCAAAAATCATTTTAAAGCAGAAAATAAAAGAAAAAGAGTTAAGTTATAAAGTTTACAAATAATAATAATTAGTAGTTTTTAGTTTTAATAAAGATTTGTTATTTTTTAAAATATAATTTTTAAATATTTTTATATATTTATTTTGGTTTTATTATATTTTATTTTATCTTTATTTTGTGTTTTATTATTATTATAATTAATTACATTTAGTTAATAATACATTTTGTTTTGTAATTAATTCATTATATTTGAGTTCTTAAATATAACAACAGTTATATTACATAAAATTCATAAAAGGGGATGTAGCTCAGATGGTAGAGCGCTCGCTTAGCATGCGAGAGGTAAAGGGATCGATACCCTTCTTCTCCAAATTTTTAACAAACCATAATCTTCCCTGTGATTTTATTAGATTCGTCATAATTCTCCATCAGTAGCAACTCTATAAGCTAGTTCCTTATTTGTCTTTACTAATTCCTCTTTGTCTTTCTTTTCAATTATCAATTCCTTGTTAATTTTTTCAATAACTTTACTTTGCATGTAGTTTTCTTCCATCAATTTTTGAACAATCTTCATAAAATCTGCCATTAAGTTATCATCTTGTTTTGATAACCTTTCGTTACCCATATCCATCATCTTTTGGATAACTTTTTCTTCTAAAACTACTAATTGATTTTCCATTGAATTATTTTTCGTAAATTTTTCGGTTTTCACTCTGCGATGACTTAAATTGTTTGGGAGATCTTTTCCTAATAAATTCTGCTTTTTTCTTGAAGCTTTCTACAATTCTTTCTAACACGCTAAACCATTCGTCAATATCCGTCTCTTCTATCCATAACTTTTATTGATCTTTTCGTTGAATTCGATACCAATTCCGAGCGACAAATAATTGCATATGAATATTGCTTTTTGATGGATGGTCTGTTCCCTGAATAGAACCATACTATCCCTGAGTATTCTAATGAGGTTGTCGTATCCTTTACCCTCATCGTTAACACCAGATTTGGCTTTCTCTAGTTTGCTTGTAACAACTTCACGTCGTCCTTTCTTCTAATGATCCTACACATTTCTGACCATTCTGGCTCAGTATCCTCTCTTTCCATTCTTGCCCTATAATCCTCTAAACCTTTTAAGATCTTTACCCATTTGCTTTCTCTGTAAAAAACCTTATTGATCATTTGATCTAACTTGTCAGCACCCTTCGTGATATTGACATCACGGAAGATAAACTCTGAACGGTTTATAAAGCCTCCGACTGATTCTTTGAGCTCCATCTTGAGTTCATTCACGTTCTCAGTACTCAAAGTTGACTTTTTTTTAATAATTTGTTCAACTTTTGGTTCAACCTTTGGAACTGACTGGCACTTCAATCTAAGATCCTCTACCATTTCTTTAAGAAGTTTCACCTTCCCAACTTCGCCATTAAACAAGTTAATTTGTTCCTCCCTAAGAGCTAATGAATTGTTGAGTTTGCACGATATGTCCTTGATTTCTACATTAAGTCTTTTATTTTCCTCCAACAATTTAACGATGTACTGTTCTGCTGCGACAAGTTTAGCGGCAATGTCATTTTCGACTTTTACTGAGTCTACGTTTTCTTCTTTAATTGAATACATTTTCAATCTAAATAATTTCCTTGTAAATATCTTTTAAAATTCTCTACTAACTTTACTTTTACTGGGCCCAGTATTATAAGTTATCTTGAAAAAAAAGTGTAATGTAAATGAACTTTTAAAGTATAAATAAGTAAATTAATAAACAATAAAAATAAAGATAATAAATTATATGATTTTTAAGTTTATGTGAAAATTGAAAAAAACGAAAAATTTGAAAATTTTTTATTTTATTTTTTTATTTTTTATTTTTTTATTTTTTTAAATTAAATTATTTTTAATTATTAAAATTATTAATTATTATAATTGTTTGATTAAATGACTATTTAAGTTATAATTAATTAATTAAGTGAATTTTGATGATAATACATTACAATCTGTTTAAACAACAACACCAATTTTCACAAGTCATACTTCCATTACTGATTGAAACATTAAATAAAATTTACTGATTAATTTAAAGCATTTGCTTTTAATTTTCTTCATTTAAAATAGAAAAAAAAAAAAAAAAAAAAAAAGTATAAATAAAATATGTTTTAGTTTGTGGAAGTGAAGAGTATCCATCAACTGCAGGCTTCACACCAAAATCAATCGATGATAAAGATTTCATTAGTGTAATTAATTTTCAAGTTAATCCGCAACCAGTAATAACCGGTTCATCAAAACTATCAAGTGCAGGTTTGGGTGGTCTTTGGATCTATGGTTCATCTTTGGATTTAGCAACAATTATACAGATTCAATATACCGATGAAGTAAATGGTATATTCAAATCAATTAGTCCAACATCAAATAAACCAACAGCTATATATTTCGAAATCAAACCAACCACTAAACCAATTAATATTATTGTTGGTATAGATAGTTCTACATTGGGTGATCCATACACAATTAACCCAATAGTCTTTGACTATATGGAGCAGGCCAATACCAATACATCATTATGTAAGGGTACACCTTTGTGTGGAGGTCCAGACCAAGGTGAATGTCTTTCAACAGGCTGTAAATGTATATCTCCATGGACTAGCGATGATTGTATGTCTAGAGTTATTCAAGTACCACCACCAAATGCAAATGAAACCACACCATCAACTAATATTACAATCGGTGAAGAAACAACATTTAAAAGTAAAGTATCAATAGTTGGTATAAAAGAATTGGATATCGAATCAAAAGAAGTAAACAGATATATTTTTGATCAATGGGAATATAGAGAAATATTTAATGATTCATACATTTCAAGATACAGCTATTCATCAAGTATTAAAAAAGATGGTGAACAAGATTGGTATAAGGTGGAATCAAATATTAATTTTGCTGATGAAGAAATTCATATAATGCCATCAACTATTAAATATACGATCAAAATTACAAGCTATCCATTTTCAATGAAACTAAATACATTACAATTAATAATGAAAGCATCTATTCAAACCAACAGTAAAAATTCTTGTTCAAATAAAAAGTTTGGTGAATATATAAGAGATAATTCAGATTATATAAAGCTTCAGGTCGATAATCATTCATTATATGGCAGATTCGTCAAAAGATGTATCATTGATTGAAAAAGAGATTTTCAGAACAAAAAAATAAGGTGTTCAGAAAAAAACAAAAGTAGATAATAATCAATTTAAAAAAAATTAATTCAACTCATTTTATAAATATAATATGACTTATTATTATTAATTAAATTTATTTTAATATTTTATTTTATTAACATTTATAATCATTTTAAATTCATATGATTTTGACCTAAATTTGATTTTTTTTTTTATTTTAATTTATTAAATTTTTTTTATAGTAATTGCTTGATTAGTTATACAATTTTTTTTTTTTATTTTGTTTTTATTTTAAGCAGACGGGTTGTATTTTTTATTAATTAATTACAATAATGGTCTATTGAAGAAATTAAAAAAATAAATTTGGTTTTGTTTAAAACACTGTTTTTAAAAATTAAAAATTAAAAACACTGTTCTTAAAAATTAAAAATTAAAATTTTAATTTTTATTTTTTTTTTTTAATTTTTAATTGATTTTCATAGCTTATTTCATACACCACGCCTGTTAAAAAAACTAATATTAATTATCTTATATTTTTTTTTAATAAATTATAATTTTTTAATTTTATTTTTTTAATAAATTTTTTTTTTTCTCTTCACTCACACTCATTGCATTTTATATATACACAAATCAACATTTTTTTATTTTATTCCTCTTCGCCCATCACATACACATATTTATATATATTTGACATTCATATTTGATATTTACATTTGGTAATTATTTTTTTATTTTTTTTTTATTAAATATTATATAATCTTATTTTTTTATTTGTATATTTTTTCTTAAAAAAAAAAAAAAAAAAAAAAGTTAAAATGTCAGAACCACAAGCATCTCCAAAATCACCATACCCAAGTAACTTTGCCCCCGCATACCGTTATAAATCAAATCCACCACAACAACCAAAACCAGCACCAATACTACAACCAATTCCAATTTCACCAACAATACCAAACTCACCATACCCATACACTTTTGTTCCATCATACAGATATCAAAAAGTTTCAACATCTACACCATTATCAACAACAACCCAATCAGAAACCAGTTCATCTTCAAGTTTTAACTTATCTGGTAATCCAACAGATAAAAAAGAATCAACAACAAATATCTTTGGCGGAAAAACCTCACCTTGTTTGGAAACAACCCTATTAACAACCACTAAACCATCACCATTTGGGGCACCATCAACCACAACTACATCAGAACCAGGACCAAAATCATCACCAGAACCAGATCCATTTGGCGCACCAAAAGCCACTACACCAGGACCAGAACCATCACCATTTGGCGCACCATCTGTAAATTTAGTTGGTAATTCAACAAGCACCAGTTTTTCAACAATCTCATCCTCAAATTTATTTTCTAATCCTTTTAAAGCACCACTCCCGGGAACATTCACAGCATTTTCATCACCATTTGGTGATCCAACAACAACCTCGATTGCCTCATCATTCAATATCCCAACAAATTCCTCAAGTTTGGCAACATCCCCATCAACAACTGCTTCAATTGATAATGATCACCTTATTAACCAAATTAATAAATTAAATGAGCAAAATAAAGAATTAATGAATCAGTTAGAAATATTAAAAGAACATAATCAACAACAATTGTCTCAATCAAATAACGAAGATCAAATTAATCAGCTAAGTCATGAAAACAAACAATTAAAAGATCAATTAGAATCATTAAAACAACAATATAGAGATAAAGAAGAGTTATTAAATCAAATTGAAAAAATATTAAATCAAGATAATAAAGAAATATTAGATCAAATGGACTCTCTTTATAATAATAATCAAAATCAACAACACGACAATGCTGAATATGAAAATCAAGTTAACCAATTAAAAGAAGAATTAGAATCACTAAAAGACAAAAAAACTGAAGATATTATCCAATTAAAAGAAGAAAATAATCAATTAAAACATCAATTAGAAGCATTAAAACAAAAAGATAGAGATAAAGAGGAATTATTAAATCAAATTGAAAAAATATTATATCAAGATAGTAAAGAATTATTAGATCAACTAGACTATCTTAATAATAATAATAATCAAAATGAACAACACATTAATGCTGAATATGAAAATCAAATTAACCAATTAAAAGAAGAATTGGAATCATTACAAGATCAAAATCATATTAATAATGAACATAATAATGAAATCGACCAATATAACACTAGAATCTCCATTTGGCGCACCATCAACTTCAGCTAGAGCTACACGATATCCATTTGACGTACCATCAACTTCAACTACACCATCACCATTTGGCACACCATCAACCACAACTACACCAGAACCAGGACCAGGACCAGAATCACCATCAACTTCAACTACACCATATCCATTTGGCGCACCATCAATTACAAATCCAACTCCAACTCCAACTCCAACTCCGATTCCTACCCCACAACCAACATAACAATCAACTGCTCGCATAGCCTCATCCACTTATCCAAAATTATTTGCACCAGAATCCAGTTACCATCTAAAGGGGAAAATGTTGGAAAACCATCAATTAAAAGTATTTAATGAAAAACTTGGAGAATGGGTAGATTGTCACCTAAAACCACCAATCACACTGCTTTCATTTTTAGGCAATTTTATTTTTTTACATATTTTAGAATGGAAAAAAATGAAAAAATATGTCTAAAAATTCTCAATATAATTACAGTAGTTCTGTAGTATAATTAGTTTTTTTCAAATTATTTTTATAGTTTTTAAATAATATTCAAATGTATGTGTTTATAATATATTATATTTTAATGTTTTATATAATTTAGTATTAATAAAATTAATAGTTAGTAAATATTTAGTTCATAGGTTAATATACTTTAGTAGATGATATCAACTCTATAAAATCAATTTAGGTAAAGATTCAAAGAGTATATCAGTGACTGCACCAATCAAATCGAAACTATTTTAAAGTTATACATTGCCCTGGCCAAGCAACCGATGAAGTCCTTTATATAAAGATAATTGGAGTCGCCTGCTATAATATCCTTATTTTCTAAATTATTTTCACCCTATTTTTTTTATTTTTTAATTTTTTAATAAATTTTAGTTTACCCCACACAAATTAATTATTTTTTATATTTATTTTTAAAATAAAAATTATTTTTTATTTATTTTTTTTCATTATTAATATTTTTTTTATACAGTTGCGATAAATTTTTTTATTTTTTTTAAAATCACATTAACAATATTAATAATAATAGAATTTTTTTTAATTTTAATAAAACTACATATAATAATCAAAATGAATATAGATATAAGTTTTATTTCAAAAATAATAACCTATTTATCAGTTTCTATAATTTTTTCCTTCTTATTATATTTAGTATTTCCAATTATTCAGTTCATTTTATATTTAATTTATTATTCAATCTATGCAATAATAATTTGCCTATTTATATTTTCAATTCTCATGTTAGGCATTCAAATAGAAAACATCCTTAGATTATTTTTTATTATTGGTAAAGATGTAGCAACGATTTTTATACATTCAATAAATAGAAATAAAAATAATAACGATAATAACAATAATAATAAAATCATTGAAACTAATGGTAATATAGATAATATTGTGATTAATAATCATAAAAACAATAACAATAATGCAAAGCAAATAAATGTCAATCAAGAAGTGTTCCAAATAGCAAATAATATAAAAGAGATATGATGATATTTTTTCGATATCGATGAAGAATATGATTTCCATCCAACGAAATAATATATGATCAAGATCTAAGCTCACAAAGGAATCGATAGAGTTTAAACCTGCAGCAGGAAAGCTATTCTAAGATTTTAGATAATGGTTACGAAAATAAAACATGGCATATTTAAACATTCCGTTTAGATTAGGTGGTATAAATAATCGTAATTAAAAAAAGAAGATTTTCAAATATAGATTAAAAGAAATTATATTGCCATCACATGTGGGGTTGTCTAAATAGGGTCTTGGTTATTTTTCAATTTTAACTTACATATGAAGTTCTTTTTAGTAATTTTTGTTTAAAATATTTCTGCTTCGGGTGGTGGGTGCTCATTTTATTCAAAAATTATTAAAAAGAACCTCATATGTACATAAACGAAAAAAAATAAAAAAAAGTTATAGTTATTAATTTTATTTAAATATTTTCCAAAAGTATATTTTTTTATTCATTTTATTATTTTTTCATTGTTATTAAAATAACAAATGACTCAAAGTCTAGTAGTTTATTAAATGATGACAGTATTAGAGATTCAGCTAGGAAATACCACAATGAGTAAAATTTTGTCCACTTAGTTCATATTAATATTTTATAATAAATAAAGTTTATAAAAATAAATAAACATGAAAACTTTATAATTTTAGAAAAAATAAACTATTTTTATTTTAATATGTTAGAATTGGGCGTGATGTAACCTATCAGTTTTTTTAAATATAACTAATGATTCTGTAATTGACTCGTATAACATCTAGATACAATCTTTTGGAATTGGTTGTAACTCTTTTTCTAAAGTTTGGATTCCATTAATATCTTCTTTGACACTGAAAGAAAACCTTTTTATTAAATGTTTCGATTTTGTTTTTGTTTTTGTTCCTCCAATAGTGTTTCTTCGAGCTGATAAAATAAAATATTAGTAAACAATCAATTTATAAATATGTGAAGATTGTTTTATATCTACTTTTAAACGATCTAATTGATCAGAGAATTTTTTGTGTAGTTGTTCGAGAAAAACCTTGTCACTTTCTAATTGTTCAAGGGTTTTGCTAAGATTTGCTGTTGATGGTATAACATAAGACTTAAATTGATTAAGACTTTCGTTATTACTATTGCTTGTAATGGAGTTTGTAGTGGTCGAAGTTTTATTACCATTATTATTTAAACCAAATGGATCGTTAAAATCGATTGTAAATGGTAGTTTATGATCACCATTATCACCATTATCACCATCATCCCCATCATCCCCATCATCACCATAGTCATCGTCGTCATATTCGTCGTCGTCATAATCTTCGCTATCTTCATTTTTCTCATACTTATCCAAATCCATATTTTTTTACTATTTATATGTAATAAAATATTATTTATATCAAATATAAAAAATACTAATGTATATATATATATTATTTTATTAAACTGGTACAATAAAAACTAAATATATATTAAAAAATACAAAAGATATGATATAAAAAAAAAAGTAAAAATGAAAAATTAAAAAAACTGAAAAATTAAAAAAAAATTTTTTTTTTAAAAATAATTTAATAAATAAATATTTAATAAATAAATAAAAATATATTATAATTTATAAATTTTGAAAATAAATTAATTTTTTTTAATTCAATGATATTTTTTTAATATATACATTTATTTTATATATATATTTTTTAATAAATTATAATTACTCTCTCCATTTAAATACAAACTTAATAAAATATTAATAAATTATTTCATTTTTTAATTAAAGTTTATATATAAAAATGTCAGTATATTTCACATTAAATGATTATGTTTAAATGATTGAAAAAAATAAAAAAATTAATTTATATAAAAAAAAAGAATTGATAGTTAAACAAAAATAAAGCAAAATCAATATTAAATAAAAATTAAATAAATTTAAAAACACAAATAGTTTGAATATAATTAAATAAAATTAAAAATAATAAATAATAAATTGATATCAAAAGGACCTATAAATAGAAGATTTTATAATTTAATTCATAATTCACACACAAAAATAATAGAAAGGTGTTATAAAAATTAATCATAATTTTTAATTATCCAAAAACCATCTATTATATAAATTTATAAAATAATCTCTGATATATAAAAATATATTATGTTTAAGAAAAAAAAAAAAAAAAAAAAAAAAAAAGAAAAAAAAAATAGAATAGCATTTAATTAAAAAAAAAAAATAAGAATGATTTATTGTCAATTTATTAATTTTAAATGAATTTGTTAAATTAAACGTCTTGAGTTTGTAAATACAATTTTGTGTTTTTAAAACAATATATCTATAGAGTTTTTAAATATAAAATACAAATAAAAAAAGTTAGTTAATGTATTTATATTTAATCAAATAAATTAATATTGACACTATATAATTATATCATCCTTAGAATATGATATAAAATTCTATGATGAAAAATAATTTATTCTTTGAACAATTATTATTATGTACATCACAATCAAATGAGGACAAATGCTAAAAATATATAGTCATAATATTAAAAGATTTAATAATAAAAATAATAATTATGAAAAAGTAATTAATTAATTTAAGAAAAAAAAAAAAAAAAAAAAAAAAATTTGATGATAAATATGATTGTTATATAGAGTATATTATTATAACGAATTTTATTAATAAAGTAACAATTTTTTTTTTTTTTTTTTTTTTTTTAAAAATTGAGATTTATATATAAAAGATTTTAATATTATTATTGACAGTATTGTTTTGAAATGTATATTTTGATTTTTTTAGGGTTTAGATTTATCTTTTAGGTATCTTGTTTTACTTTTTTTTTTTTTTTCTTTTTTTTTTTTTTTTTTAAATTTTTTCTTTTTTTTCTTATTTTTTTCTTTTTATTCTTATATTATTATATATTGTTACCCAATAATATTGTTATTTTAATACTATGGTTGATCATATGGTTTAAAATTTAAAAACAACTTTATTTACTGGGGAAACATACTATTATTTTTTAAATAGTCACACACACATAAACCCAACATTAGACAAACATAAACAAAAAATTAAACACATGAACACATATTAAAATATAAAAACGAATTCGTTTAAAAATTTTTATATATAAAATTTTTATGTTTAAACTAAATTATTTTTAGCTAATGGGGTTATAAAATTAAAAATATCGCAATATTATTATGATTATATTTAAAAAGAGAATAAAACAATTAAAATAATTTTAATTTACAATAAATTAGGGGTGAAGTGTGTGTTAAAAACAAAAAAAAAAAACAAAAAAATTAAAAAAATTAAAAAAAAAAAAAGTAAAAATAAAATCATATGATTCTTAATCAGCTATCTTATAATAGCATATATATTATTTTAAATTTTTTTAAGCTTTAAATCTTGTTATTTTTACTATATTGTTACATATCTCTCTCTTTGAAAAACATTCCTAGTTTACTTAATTCTTTTTAAAAAATTATGTTAAACTATGAAATTTTTAAATGGGGATTTTTTTTTTATTTTCAATTTAAAAAATATATAAGGCATTGTGGTATGCATTTTTATATATAAATATATAAATATATATTAGTGTGTTGTGTGTGTATGTGCGTGGTTAGAAGTAGTAGTGGTGTGATAAAACAAAGATAATAATCAATTTAACAATAAGTAAAGTTAAAATAACAATTAAATATTAAAGATAAACAAAATAAATGTATAATTTGATATTTAATATAATAAAACTTTTTAATTTATATATTTTTGATGATAAATCATTTTTTTATTTGTTAATTAATTTTATTGTTTTTTTGGATAAAATAATGTGGTGGTTATTGTACACATAATTTACATTATGATTAAATATAAATTTGTCTTTTTAAAATAAAATAAATATAAAAAAAAATAAAAAGATAAAATAAAAAAGATATAATATAATTAAATAGGGTAAAAATAAATAAATTTTGATTTAATTAAAGAAATAATAATCTACATTTTAATAATATAATCTATTAATATTACAAAAACAAAATAAATTAAAATATTAAATAATAGATCAAATGCTTTAAAAAAAAATAAAATAAGAATAACAAATAATAATAATAACAATAATAAAAATTCAATCATATAAACATATAGAAATATAAAATTAAATAAAAAATAAATAAAAAAAATAAAAAGAAATAAAGGAATTAAAATTTAATTTTTTTGAAATAAATATTTTTAGTATAAATAGAAAGTAAAATTTTTTTTTTAATCATTCAATCAAAAACAAATAACAAATAATTAAAATAATCAATAATCCAAACAATTAAAAAAAATATATTATATAGTTTTAAGAAAAATAATATTTTAGAATCAATATTATTTTTTTTCACCTACTCTATATCCACTTGTTTTTTTTAATCTGATCATATATAATTATTACTGTATTTTGTTTTAAATTTGTTGTTATATTATCTTGTTATTTATTTGTAATACTTTTAATTGTTAACATTACTATTATAAAAAAAAAAGCATTGTATTCAAAAAAAAAAAATGTATATCCTCAAGTATGTATCTGTATTCCTTTTGATGACACTTTGTGTCTTCAACAGTGGTGTCCATGCCAAAACTGTAACCGTTGATGGTTCAAAATGTGGTACCTGCCAATTAGAATCATTATTAGGTGGTATTGGTGGTGTATTAAGTCAAGCTGATGATATTATCATCAAGGGTATTCCAAACGCTGTCTACACAATCAGCAAGCCACTCATGTGTCGTACTATGAACATTACCAGCGGTACTGTCAACTTAAATACAAATATGAACTTAAAAGGTGACCTTTGGATTGCTTCCGGTGCTCTTTTAGTTGTCAATGGTGCTCTCTCTGGTAACAGTCTCATCAACCTCGATGGTAACATCCTCGTCAAAGGTGGTGTCTCATCAATTGGTCAATTAAACTGTAATGGTCAATTAAAAGTTGAATCTGGTTCATTAACTCTTAATGGTTTATTAGCTTCAGCTACCTCAATGCCAATTGTTTCAGGTGGTTCTTTAATCAACAATGGTAAATGTATTTACAACTCATTACCAGTTGTTTCAGGTGCTTCCCAATTCATTGTTAACGGTGCTACCACTTTAACCAAAGGTATTAGCTGTTCAGACAAGTCCATTTTAAGTATTGCTGCCAAAGCAACTGCTGATATCCAACATGACTCAAAGATTTTAAATCCAATTAAAATCGATGCTGCTGGTGAAATCAAATTAACCAAAGGTAATCACGTATTCAATGGTGTTAATGGTGCTACCAACTCAATCATGACAATCGTCGACGGTGCTGTTTCAATGAATGCCCCATCTAAATGTCACTCCATTAATCTCTCTGGTGCCGGTTCAATCTTAGTAAATGCCAATTCAATTGTTAATGATATCAAAGCAAAAGCTACCGCTAAAATTGATCTTGCTGCAACTGGTCTCTTAAACATCAACGGTAAAGCTGATATTGATGCCATGGTCAACTTAAAAGACAAAGCTCAAATTATTGCCGCTGCCAAATCAACTGTTAACCTCTTAGGTGGTATTACTTCAACTGCTACTTCACAAGTCCAAGCTATGGATAACTCTATTCTCAACATGGGTAAAAACTGTATGTTCTCACAACCAATCATCGTCGGTAAACAAGCCACTCTTAACCTTAACAATGGTAACCATGACTTCCAACAAGGTGTTCAATCAGAAAGCACTTCAACCACCAACATTGCCAAAGACTCTAAAGTAAAAGCCAACAAAGACTGTAAATTCGGTATTCTTAACGTTGCCACTGGTGCTGATGTTAACATTAACTCTGGTACAACTGTCGTCCAAGGTCCACTTACCACTGCTGATAAATCAATCTTTGCTGTTACCAACGCCGTCCTCAACCTTAAAGGTGCCTCAATTCTTAAAGCCCCATTAAACATTAATGCTAAAGCCAAAGCCATCATTGATGCTAAAACTGATCTCTTATCAGGTATCAACGCCCACATCGACGCACACATTGACATTAACCATAACCTTAACATCCTCGGTACTTCAAATATCCAATCTGCTACTAATATCAATGCCAACGGTCTCCTTGTTTTCGGTGGTTCAAAAGATGTCACCCACAAATGCTCTGGTTCAATCAAATCTGACTCTAAATCAACTCTTAACGTTCAAAGTGGTGCCATCCTTCATCTTGACGGTGATGCTACTCTTGCTGGTATCCATAAATTAATTGATGGTTCACAAATTGTTGTCAACGGTAATGCTAACATTGTCACTGGTTTAACTTCAGTCGGTACTGCTTTATCTCACTTCACTGTTGGTCCAACTGGTAAATGTGTTTTAGGTAATGTTCCAATGCCATCACTCCCAGGTTTCCCATCATTCCCAATGTCATCAGGTAATTCATTCCCATCATCATCATCAGGTAACTCAGCCCCATCATCAGGTAACTCAGCCCCATCAACTGGTTCATTCCCATCATCAGGTAACTCAGCTCCATCATCAGGTAACTCAGCCCCATCAACCGGTTCATTCCCATCATCAGGTAACTCAGCTCCATCATCAGGTAACTCAATGCCATCAACCGGTTCATTCCCATCATCAGGTAACTCAATGCCATCAACTGGTTCATTCCCATCAACTGGTTCATTCCCATCATCAGGTAACTCAATGCCATCAACTGGTTCATCAATGCCATCTGGTCCATCACACCCATCAATTATCAACGGTAATGTTATTGTTAACGCTGGTGGTTCATTAGATGTATTAGGTAAATGTAATGTTGGTTCAACTCTTCAAAATATGGGTTCATTAATTGTCACCCAACCAATCGTTGTTGCAGGTACTGCCTTCACCCAATCAGATGCCAAAGCAACCTGTAATTTAATTGCTGGTGGTTCAATTGATGCTAAAGTTGTCGATTTCGTTAAAGGTACCGTTCAAGGTGTTGGTGCTCTTAAATGTGGTAGCTGTAACTTTGCCAATAACATTGCTGCTAACTTAAATATTGTTGGTAATGTTAAAATGGCCTCAACTGCAACCATTATTGCTAATCTTGATGCTTCAATCAATGCTGCTCTCTCTAAAATGACTGGTACTATTACTCAAACCTCAACCAAAACAATCAACGGTAAATCAACCACTACCACCTCAACCAAGACTTTCAACTTTGGTGAATCATATGTTCCAATGATCGTTGCTTCAGGTACTGCTGAAATTGCTGGTAAACTTAACATTGTCGCCTCAGCTGACTCTGCTGCTAAAATTGCCACTGGTACTGTCTTCAAATTTGTTTCAGCTCCAACTGTTAAGGGTTCATTCTCTGGTATTACCAACTTTGTTGGTAGTGCTGCTGGTAGTGCCGCTGGTGCTGCTAATGGTGCTGCTGGTATGGCTACTGGTGCTGCAAGTGGTGCTCTTTCAAAAGCCTGGTCACTTGTTCACTCACCATGTGCCTGTGATTGTGGTTTCAAATATAACTAAACAAATAAACCATGCACAATATAACTAACAAAACTTTTTAAACCCCAAAAAAAAAAAAAAACTTTTTATAATACATAATAATCAATTTTATGTATAATCAATAATTTATTTTTAGAATTGTATTTGAAAAAATATTTAAATAAAAAAAAAAAAAAAAAAAAAAAAAAAAAAACCCATATAATTCTTTCTTTTTATTATTATTTCCTTTATTTATTCGTTAAATATTTTTATTACTTCAAATGATTGTATTTTTTTTTTTTTTTGGAAAAATTTCTTTTTTTATTTTTTTTTTTATTTTTTAAATTTTTTTTTTTTTTAATTTATTTTTTTTAATTTCATCATTCATTTATAAAAATGAAATTTATATTATTAATAATTTTACTTTTATTTATAAATATAAACAATGCTTATAAACCTAGAGAAATAGTTAGAGTTAATTTGCAAACTAAAACTGTAAACTATATATCATAAACCCAATATTCTATAGATGATTTATTATTAATTCAAAATTTAAATATTTAGGGTGCCAATATAGAACATCATGATTTATCACCAAGAATAGCACCAAAGTTTAAAGTTGACCTTTCAAAGAGTTTATTAAATTTAGATTCATCAAATAATAAAAAAGCAGAACTTTTACCAAATATTTTATATAAAATATTATTTTCATTTGATAATGATAGATTCAAAACTACATGGATTACAGTATCAGATGGTAATGGTAAATTTTTAAATCATATCGATTTTACTTTTATTTATTCAAACGATAAAATTATTGATTTAAAATATAATTTAGATTGTAGGTATTCTTCATTTAAATTTGAATAATACACATAACCATAACTTATTAATTAATAATTGTAAATCAAATTTAATTTAGATAACGACGAAGCGGTTCATCATGGAAAAAAGCAATCGGATTTTTATATTAACTATAGATGGGAAGAAATTAGGGATAAAGATTTATCAAGTGGTTTATTTGTTTTATTTACAGTTGGATTAATCGTTAGCGGAATTTCATTTACACATATAACAATTAGTTTTGCAAGCAAACCCTCAAAAATAAAGAATTTACCATCATACTATCAAAAAGCTAAAACTGAATCAGAAAATATAAACAATTATAACAATAGCAGTAACTATAGACAACAACACCAACATCACCAACATCAACACCAACAAAACTATAACAACCAAAGTAATTATGAACAAAACCAACAAAAATTTAATCAAGAAGAACAACAACATAATAATGAAAATATCCAACCATTATCATCATATGACACATCACCAAGCTATCATTTATCTCCACCCCCAATCGCAAATAATGACGATACTAATAATAATATTGATAATAATAATAATGAAGAAAACACGAAAAACGATTTTGATGTTTCAGATTCAGAAATTGAATCTTTTGTAGAATTAAATCGAAATAAATAAAGATAATAATATTATTGTATATAAAAACCAAAAAAAATTTTTTTTTTATAAATAAATAATAAATAAAAAGATAAAATTTTATTTTTTACAGTTAAAAAAGAATTTAGAATCGCTAATTCTAACAAAGTCAATACGGTCTAAATAAAAAAAAAGTTAAAAAGATTAATATTTATAATTTAATAAAAAATATAATAAAAAATTAGTACACTTACCATTATATAACAGATTATAATGATCCAATAATGTTGTTAAAACATTATTAATTATTGGGATTTTCAAAGAAGTTTCAATAGTTTGGTCACGGGGTTTTAATAAGTTGGGACCAAAAACGATTGAAAGATTTGAATGATTCATTTTGTTAATTTCGCTACTCTTTGAAATTTCAATTAATAGTGTGAGAATTAATTGGAATGTATTTTGATTTACAATTGGAATAGATTTTAATAGAGTTGAAACTTGATTAACTTGCTCAATTTCACTAAGATTGCTATTGTCACCAATCTCTATAACTTTGTCAAAGAGGTCAAATGTTAATAATGGCTCGGATAATTCCCTAAAGAAACCTTTTAATAGTGCAGCTAATTGATGACCATTGGTTCTAAAGATAATTGAATCCAGCATTTCATCAGAGGTACATTTGTTTAGAGAATCCCTAACTGATTCTAATTCACTTTGATTTGGTGAAATTCTAAATATACCTTCACTTTCAGTGTATGATAATAATGCATTACATGTTTTCACGATGAATGATGGTATATTGATTTCTGATGGTTTGTAAATTGGCATAGACATTGATGCTGTTGATGTAGTTGAGAGTGAGGAGATCGATGAGTTAATAGTGGCTGATGATGATAAAGATGATAATGATGGTGACGATGTGCCCATGCTAGGTAATTGTGAGGACGATGCACTGATGGTGGTTGTAATGGATATAGTTGGTGGTGATGACATTGATGCTGCATCTTCTTCTCTTTGCATTAGATCGTGTAATGATATTCCAAATATCTTTGTCGATTTATTAATGTTTGTTGTACACAATGTTGAAAATTGTTTCATCAATTCTTTCTTTTCTCTGCTGTCTTCAATGGAGAAAGATAATGTTTCTTTGGTATTATTATTTACAATGGAAATAATGTTCTTGTGAATCTTTGTATCTTGTAAATCTGAAACTACGACATCTGATAACATAAATAATTTCTTAAATTTATATAGTTCTCTTGGTTGAGTTCCTTTCTTTACAAATAAGATTAAATCATTACATAAATAATAGTAATAAGTTTGATCTTGTTTTTTTGTTTCAAATTTAATTAATTTTCCTTCATGAATAAAGATTCTACCTGCTATAACAAACTATAAATGAAATATTATTAATATTTTTTTTTTTTTTTTTTTTTTTTTTTGTTTTTTTTTTTTTTTTTAAAACTACTTACTGGATCTAATGCTTTTCTATTGTTTATTTTTCTATAAATATTCATTAAAGTTGATTGTGATTGAGATTGTGATAAATTTGATTCAATTAATTGTTCAACTTCCTTCATCATTGTTACAGAGTTGATAATATTAACATAATCTGGCCAATTTGATGGTGTATAATTTGCAATATTAAATAATTGTCTTTCATAGCTTGTTAAGTGATTTAATGGAGCAGAAATTAAAGCCATCAAGTCATAAACTTTACCTGGAGTATTATCACAACATTCTTTTAAAAATGAAGCTAATTTTGGGTTTTCTTCTTGACAAGATATTAAAGTATCGATTGCATTTTTAAAATTTTTAACATAACCACCATAAACCTTGAGTTCTGGAGCAATTCTTAAAAATATATCACCCAAACCTTCTACACATGGCCATTTTTTATGGAGCTCTTCAAATTGAAGCGAAATTTTCTTGTGGACATAGTAAATCTCTTTAATAGATGAGAATATAGATTGAAGATCCATAGTTGTTAATAAATTTGAAGCTTTGAGTGGTTTGTAATATGTATTGACAGCTATATCTAGTTTTTCATTATATCTTCTTTCTAATTGAATTAAACCTCTAAATTCATTATTTCTATCCTTCAAAATGGAACCAGAATAAACCTGTGATAACCAGTCAGTTCTTCTTTTTGAAAGAAATCTTCTAACACAACTTTGAACTGTAACAACATCACGTAGATAATCTTGTCTATCTACCCATGATTGAAGGGTTTGAGTTGCTTTAGTAAGCTCTGCCAACTTATCTTCTCTAATTAGTGTATTACTGTAATCAATATCCAACATTTGATTATAAAGTATATCCATCATTGAATGTACTGCAGTATTGTTGATACCTGGGATTGCATTAATAATTGAACTAACTGCGAAATAGATTTTATTTTGTTCTTCATTTAATGGTGTATTGTTGTGTTGAGTTTGCTGCTGTTGTAATAATTGTTGTTGATAATGATGGTGGTGATTGGGTATGAATCCAAGTGAGTTTGTATTTGCATCTGCAACATTAGGAAAACTTGGTGATTTTAATGGTAGTTGTGTGGTTGATGTGTTGTTACCTTGACGTTTTGGTAAATTTGGTGTACTAGTATTTACATGATTATTATTATTATTATTTGGTTGTTTAGATTTTGATTTTACAAATAGTGAATATTTTCTTGGTGAACCGCTCGAAACCCCGCTTGATAAACTATTTATTGATTTTGATGACGAGGCCTGTTGTTGCTGTTGCTGTTTATCAGAATAAAATATTGGAATTGAAGATGTTGGTGAAGAATTACCACTAAGGTTTCTAGCATGTTTTTTTTCATATACCAAACCACTTGAAATATTAATTGGTCTGCTGCCACTAACATTTATACCATTTCCATTGCTGCTACCACTTGTATTAATGGTATTATAATCGTAATCTGTTGGTGAATCTGAATGTGATCTCATTTGTCTGGTTGGTGATAAAGGTAGTAAATCTTTTGTGCTACTATTACTATCAATACTATTGCTACTATTTAGTAATGGTGATAAATTTGATGGTGTTAATTTTTCTGTATCCTCACCCGATGTTGAGTTTGACAAAAGTGGACTAAGTGTTTCTGGTGTAGTATTTGCAGAAGATAAATCAAAACTATTACTGTAATTTCTATTTGGTACTTTTGGTAATGCTCTATGTTGTTGTTTTGGACTATTTGAGCTTTGTGGTTTTAAAGGTGGTGTGATTGGCTCGATCTCTATCAATTGTTGTGAAATATTTCTAGAAAATTGTTTAATTGCTGATGGAGTTAATGATCTTCTTATTGATAATGGTGCTTTTTCAACTGAAGGTACAGTTTTGGTTTTATTATTATTAATACTATTACCCTTGTTGTTATTAAAAGAATGTCTATTATTATTTTGATGATTATTATTATTATTGTGACTATTATTTAATGAGGTAAAATTATTATTATTATTATTATTATTAATATTATTATTAGTATTTGTACTGTTTAAATTATTTTTTATTGATGTTGTTATTTTATTTGTATTATCAATGTTTGTTACATCCCCATTATTAGTAATTTCATTAGATCTATTTTATAAATATAAAAAAATGATTATTAAAATGTGTATATTATAATTTAGTATAAAGATATAAAATGAAAAAAAAATAAATAAATAAAATAAATAAAGTAAAAAATATAAAATAAAAATTTAAAAAATAAAAAAATATATTAAATAAAAAGAAAATAGAGAAATGAATGTATATATATATTCATTTATAAAAAAAGAAAGAAATGTATGCAAGCGATGTTTTTTTTCGAAAATATTGTTAATGTCCTATTATTATTTTCTATTTTTATATATTTAATGTAAAAAAGAAAAAAATATGTCTTTCTGGTGTGCATTTGGGGGTGTGTTTTTATTTTGTGTGTGAATATATGAGTATTACTATGTATGTTTATTTTCTTTATTTTAAAATATCTAGTTATTATCTTGTGTGAGTGTGTGTGTGAGTGTGTGTGCTTTGTTATGTTATTTACAATTAATTATCTAATGTTTTATTGGTATAAAGTAGATTTTATAACTTATTATAAAGGTTATTATAATTATTTTAGTATTTTCTATTTTTTTTCTTTTGTTTTAAAATGGTTTGGGTTAAAACTAATCTTTTAAAAAATTAAAAGATTAAAATATCATATGTAAATTATTTTTAATATTTAAAAACAACTGAATTTTTCTATTTTTGTGTTTTAATACTATTTACTATAATTATTTTGTTATTTTTAATTATTATTTATACCATTAACAATAATAATTATAATATTATTATTTAAATTACAACAATAAAATATTTTATTTATCTTTGGTAAAAGAAATAAAAAATAATTTAAAACATATTATAAAAATAAAAATAAACAAATCTTGTGTGTTTTTGTGCGTGCGTGTGTCTACTGAATGTAACCACTGATTGATAATTATAATTATTTACCTTGAAATATGATATGAATGTTCCTGTTCAGTTTTAAAGCAATGTTTACATTTATCAAGTCTCCATAGTTGTCTTTCGAATATAGTACAGTACGAGGATAGTGCAGTTTTACTGCTGATCTCCTCTGATGATGAGGATGGAGTCAAGCTTGATGACATTTCCTTTTTTTTTTTTTTTTTTTTTTTTTTTTTCTATAATACAATACAAAAAACTATTTAAACTTTTATCGATCTATTATTTCGACCTATTTGATTTATTTAGCTAAATATATATTTATTTGATTTATTAAAATTTTGATTATTTGTTTTATTTATTCAAATAAAACCACACAACTTTTGCCCCAAAAAAAAATTTTAAAAATAAAAAATTTGAAAAAAAAAAATAAATTAAAAAAAAAATAAATAAAAAAAAATAAAAAAATCTTTTTTTTTTTTCAAATTTTTATTTGAATTATTTTCATCATTTTTAATTTTATTTGTATGTTTAAATAAACATCAATTTATTGATAATGTATAGATTTTGTAAGAAAGTACAGTGTTGGAAAATTAATTTATCTCCAACACCACTTTATATTCAATCATCACGACTCTATACAACCATAACCACACCAACAATCAAAAAAACCAATAATTATAATAACATCAAAACCAAAGACTTAAATAATAAAACTGGAATTTTTAAAAAACCAAAAAAAGATCTCTATAATAAATCTCTTCCAACATCATCTGATGAAATTCAAATTGAAGAACTACATAAAAAATTTAAAAAAGATTTTAGTACAATAGAAACATTATTAAATAATAATCAAATTGAAGAAGCTATCAAAAAATATAATAAATATGATATTGAAAACGGAATCAATATAAAAGCATTTTCAGCAATACTTTTGTACCAACTTAATAATAGTAATATAGATAACAGTAATAATAATATTCAAGATTCAACAACCAATATAAAAGAAACAATAATATTCTTTAGAAATAATGTGGACCAATACAAACAGCAATTTTCAAAAATTTATTTAAAATCAGATGAATTTTTAGAATTTTTAAGGGCTATTTATTCAAAGTCATCATCGTCAGTTATGGAAATCTATAATATATTATTAGAGTCCGATTTGATAGACATAAGGATGAATTTTATATTTTGTAATTTTTATTTAGATCTCGGTTTAGAAAAAAATGCAGAAATATTACTTAAATATAGTTTTCAAATCGAAGAAATCAGTGATAATAATAAAAATAATAAAAATAATAAAAATAATAATAAAACCAATAAATATATAAAGATATTAAAATTTTTAAAAACACCAGTATTAAAAATCACTAAAAAAGAAGAATATGAATTAAAGATATTGTTTATAAAATCATGCAAATTTCCAGTTTTATATCAAATGTTGGTCGACCTCTTTATTCCAAGTGGTATTACCGAAGACTCGCGTTATTTAGTGCCCTCTTTTATTTGTGTTATCAATGCATGTCTAGAATCCAACCAAATAGAACTATTAGAGCAAATGATGGAGCCATATAAGAAAAATAAGGATCCTCTAGATTCAAATAAATCGATTGTAATTGGTATGGCCTACTTTTATGCCCACCATAGAAATTTAATAAACCTCAAAAACTATTTATATCAAAACTTTTTAGGTCCAAATAACGATAATAATGTCTTTAAAAACGACCTATTGGACACTGTAATACTATATGCCTTAGAGCAAAACGATTATCATGGCTATGGCAATGCATTATACTTTTCAGATGTAAAAAAAAGCGAAATCAAAGACGACTCCATGGACTTTTATTTACCATTTAAAGAATATCACCGATTCGTTCACCATCAAGCAAGAGATTTCTGGGTAGAGAAAGAATCAGGAAACAACTCAAAGAACCTTATATATAAAAACCGTTACTCAACAGAAAGATTAATAAAAGCGACAGATAAATTATTAAATATTGAAGAATTTAACTCTACATCAAATACAGACAATAGTATGGATATTTTAGAGAATAAAATCAAACTACTATCATACCACAGCCAATTAAAATCAATTAATGTTAGTCAAAATGGAAAAAAGTTTATTGAAGAATTTAGGCAATACCTTGTAACTCTTGATAAAGAACTATCAATCAACCAAATAAAAACAGCAAAAAAAGAATATTTCGATTTAGAATCCACCAAATACTCTGAACTAAGGGAAGATAAATTATTGAAAGAAAAACATTTATTTTATACCGTCGTACCGCACTCACCACCCTTCATCTCTGCAATTAAAAGATTTAGAAATAGTTTTAAAGAGCTAGAGGATGGAAATAATAAATTTATCGATTTTATATTAAAGTTAAAGAGTATGCCACTTAGAGATTTATTAACAACCAACAGTGACTGGGCCACCTATATCGAAAACTCAAAGAGTGATTTATTTTCAATGACACAAAAGCTACCAAAATCAATTTACAAGTCAAATGAATTTTACAACTATTGGTTACAAGTTTTATCAAGTGATTGCAAGAACAACACCGAAATGATATGGAATCTATTTGGTTTTATGTTGGATAATAATATTACAATTGAAACAAAATCACTATCAAAATTTTCATCTGCAATTTTTAATTCAAATATAGAACTCAGCGAAACTCAACTAAACAATCTAAAAAGAATTGAAACTAATGGAAATACCAATTTAAATATTCTAAGAATGAAACTAAAGTATTACCCAACCAATAACTTTTCTGAATATGATGAATTCCAGTATAGTAAAGATGCACTCATAGATTCATTGGAGGTTTTAAAGGGTAAAGAATATGAATCAAAGTCAGAAATGCTCAAACTATATACAAATATAGCCAGTAGAGTATACCCACTAAACCAAAGTATTTCAAATATTCACTCATGGAAACCATTCCCAAATAATTTCTTTTTCCAAGAAGCCTGTCAAATCATGATACAGAAAAAAATGATTAACCACCTAAAACTATTTATTGGTATATACTCCAGAGAGATTGGTCTTCTTAATCACTCATCAATTATGAACATCATTTCCCCCCTTCCACCAATTAAACAAAAATCATTCATCGAACACTATTTAAAGAAATCTTCAAACTACCCAATCCAATTTATTAACTATATCAAAAATTTAAAAAAATCATTACAATTAACAAATGACCAAAATTCAAAAGTTTTAGATGAAATCATTTCAACTGAAAATAGTAATATACATAACAATATAGATAAAATAGGTAATAATAATATAGATAACAATACAAAAGATTTCAATGATTTATTTATTAAAGTTTATTTAAATAAATAATAAAATAAGAAAGTTTTATTTCTTTTTATAAATAAATAAATAATTATTTAATTTTGATTTTTATTGTAATTTTGTATCATTTATAAACTCTGAAATAATTTTAGAAAATAAGTCAGCATTATCTGCATGGACCCAGTGACCAGCATTAGGAACTACCACTATATCGTTTATATTTGGAAAATAGGAATACATTACACTTGTATCTTTGTTCTTTTCTAAAAAACCACTTTTTTCACCCACTATAAATAATGTATCTTTCGAAAAAGTACCAGATTTATTGTTTGATGACATTTCTGTGATTTCCAATTGTGTTGGGAAGGTGTTGATGTTATCGAGTTTATCTAACAAACCTTTGATATTGAGTCTCCAACGAAATTGACCGTTTTCACCCAATATTAAATTAGTTAAAATGAATAATCTTACACCCTTATTTGTAATCACAGGCTCTAGCCATTCCTCTGCCTGTTTTCTAGTCCTTATATTATGAAGGTCCATACTATCCATTCTTTCTAAAAACCCTCTAAACTCTGCTATTGAATGACTGGTTAAATGTGATGGTGAAATATCTACAACTACTAATTTATTAATGGTTTCTGGATATAATAATGAATATAACATTGCAACTCTACCTCCTAAACTATGTCCAATAATTGCTACATCATTTAAATTTTGTTTTTTAATTATTTGATCTATATCATCTGACATTACTTTATAATTAAACTCTTTAGTATGTGGGCTTGCACCATGGCTATAATAATTAAAATTTATTAGTATGAGAAAAAACCATATGTGGTGATGAATGGTTTACTACCTACTTTCGTTGATCGACTTGAAAAACAGTACAATTGGTACCATCTGCTATTTTATGTGAAACACTCTTCCAATTACTACCTGCACCAAATAAACCATGAAGAATTATAATATTTTTAACACTTTGATTATCATTTGGTTTTAAATGTGATGGTTTTTGTACATGAAATACCAAATCTACCGGTTTCCCATCTGTTAATGTACAAAACTGCCTTATTTTATTTAAATTATTTTTATTAAATATTAAATTTCTGATCATATTAAAAGTTTTTTGTGAAAATGAAAAAAAAAAAAAAAATTTTAAATTAAAATTAAAATTAAAAAAAAAAAAAAAAAAAACATATTTATGGGGAAAGAAAATTAATATTATATAAAGAAATATTCTATTTTATTAATTATCTTTATTTATAAAATCTGAAACAATTTGTACAAAGGTTTTTGGATCTTCGGCATGAACCCAATGGCCTGCATTTGGAACCACCTCCAATTCATAATTTGGGAAATATGAATTAATTAATTGAGTATCTTGATCACGTATGAAATGAGATTTACCACCTGCTATGAATAAGGTTGGTCTGGTATATTTATTGGTTTTTGATGTTGACATTTCGCTAATTTCTGTTGGTGTTGGAAAAGATGCAACATTATCAATTTTTTCCAAAAGACCTTTGATATTGATTCTCCAATGATAGTGACCATTATCACCTAATATTAAATTGGTTAATAAAAATAATCTTACACCTCTCTCTGGTACAACTGGTGCCAACCAATCCTCGGCTTCTTTTCTATTTTTTAAATTCTTTACATCCATACTATCCATTCTTTCCAAATATTCCCTAAACTCCATAATAGTGTGACTCTTTAAATGTGATGGTGATATATCCACAATCACCAATTTATTAATAGTTTCTGGATACAATAATGCATATAACATTGCAACTCTACCTCCCATACTATGTCCAATAATTGATACATCATTTAAATTTTCTTTTTCGATTAATCTACCAATATCATCTGACATTACTTTATAATTAAATTCATTAGTATGTGGACTAATACCGTGACTAAATAGAATTGGTTGAAAATAAATTGTTAATACGTTTATAAAAAATTTTAATCTATGTGCATAACTGTTTTTACTAAGCTTACTTTCTTTGATCGACTTGAAAAACATTACAATTTGTATTATCTGCAATTTTAGGTGAAATGGTTTTCCAATTACCACCAGCACCAAATAAACCATGAAGAATTATAATATTTTTAACATTTTGATTATCGGTTGGTTTTAAATGTGATGGTTTTTGAACATTAAACACTAAATCTACTGGTTTACCACCGTATTTTTCGCTTAAACTACAAAATCCCCTAAACTTTTTAATATTATTGATGTTTTTATTATTAAATAGTATATTTCTAATCATGGTGCATATTAAATCATAAAAATGAAAAAAAAAAAAATTTAATTCGCTTTTAAAAAAAAAATAAAAAAATAAAAATAAAAAAATAAAAAAAAAAATAAAAAAAACTAATTAATTAATTAATTTTCTCTGCATTATCTTTATTTGTTTAATAATTATCCTAAAAGATATTTATTTAATAATTAATTATAATTTTTAATTTTTTTAGTTTTTTTTTTTAAAAAAAGATAAAATGAAGATGTAATCGTTTTTTCGGGAAAATATCCATTTTTTTAAATTTTATTTTATTATTATTTTATTGTAATTTAAAATTTAACTTTAATTAACAAACATTTCGAAATAATTTCCAAAAAAAAAAAAGGGAAATTATAATTAATCCACACACAATTTTTTCAAATTTTTTTGTATAAATAGTTTTTTTTTAAAATAATTTAAATATATTAGAATTTATAATATAATAAAAAATAATAAAAAGAATATTCTTTATCATGTGACTAAATAATAAAAAGTAATTAAAGTTATTATAAGAATACATTAAATATAAAATTTTATATTAATACAATTATTTATTTTTTTTTCGTTTTTTTTAATTATTTTTTAATTTTTTTTTTTAAAATTTTTTTTCTTTTTTTTTTTTTTGATTTAAAAATAATTATTTTTTTTTTTTTTTAAATAATTTTTTATTTTTTATTTTGTGTATATTTTTAAATTAATATTATATATATTTAATTAAAAAAATAATGAATTTAAAATTAAACCCAAACGCCAGTTCATTTGTCCCAAAAGGTTTTGGTGCCAAACCAGCCGAACCAGCTGCTGAAGAACAACCACCAAAGGAAGAAAAACCAGTTGTTGAAGAAAAACCAAAAGTTGTTGAACAACCACCAAAAACAGAAGAAACCAAAACCACAGAATCAGTATTTAAAATCGAAGATGACGATATTGAAGATGATGAGGAGGAAATTACAAGCACCACCAACAAAGTTGCAGACATTAAAATAGATTTACCAGAAGATTCAAGAGAACATGTAAATTTAGTTTTCTTAGGTCACGTAGATGCAGGTAAATCAACCCTTTCAGGTTCAATTATGGTTTTAACAGGTCAAGTTGATTCACACACTCTTGCCAAATACGAAAGAGAAGCAAAGGAAAACCATCGTGAAAGTTGGATTTTCGCATATATTATGGATACCAATGAAGAAGAACGTACCAAAGGTAAAACTGTTGAAGTTGGTCGTGCACATTTTGAAACTGAAAAGAAAAGATTCACAATTTTGGATGCTCCAGGTCACAGATTATACGTACCAAATATGATTGTTGGTGCTGCTCAAGCTGATGTTGGTATTTTAGTTGTCTCATCAAAGAAGGGTGAATTTGAAGCTGGTGTTGATGGTGGTCAAACTGTTGAACATGCCCGTTTAGCTAAAATGATTGGTCTTAAACAACTTGTAATTTTCGTTAATAAAATGGACGAACCATCAGTACAATGGAGCAAAGAACGTTACGATGAAATCGTCGAAAAACTTTCAGTTCACTTAAAGAAATGTGGTTGGAATCTTAAAAAGGATGTTCAATTCATTCCAGGTTCAGGTTACGGTACATTAAATGTTAAAGATCCATTAAAACCAGGCGTTTGCAGCTGGTATAATGGTCCATCATTAATTGGTACCCTCGACAATTTACCACCAATCGAACGTAACATCGAAGGTGCCCTTAGAATTCCAATCACCACCTCATACAAAGACAGAGGTATTGTCAATGTTATTGGTAAAGTCGAATCAGGTACCATCAGTGTCGGTCAAAGTATTCATATTATGCCAGGTAAATATAAGGTTGATGTCGTTTCATTAACTGGTGATATTTGTAGCTTCAAGACTGCTCGTCCAGGTGAAAACATTACCATTGCACTCAAGGGTATTGAAGATGATGTTATTCGTCCAGGTAGTATTTTAGCCGAAATTAATAGACCAGTACCAGTCGTCTCTGAAATTGAAGCCATTGTTTACATTCTCGATTTACCAGAAGAACGTAAATTATTCTCCCCAGATTTTACTTCAATTTTCCATGCTCACACTGCCGTCGAAGATGTTAGAGTTAAATCATTAATTGCCACCATCGATATGAAGACCAATGAAGAGAAAAAACAAAAACCAACTTTCTGTAAAGTCGGTGATGCTGTTAAATGTCGTTTAATTTTAGGTAGACCAGTTTGTTTAGAAGAATTCTCTGTTAATCCACAATTATCAAGATTCACTTTACGTGATTCAACTAAAACCATCGCTTTTGGTAAAGTTGTCAATATTGGTAAAAAAGCTCGTGAAGCAATTGCCGCTGCTACCCTTTCACCAAAATAAATAAATAAAATAATTTAAATTAAATAATATCACAAAATAAAAATAAAAAATAAAAAAAAAATAAAAAAAAAAATAAAAAATAAAAATAGTCAATTTTTTTTTTATCTTATAAATAATATTATATCTAAAATATAGTATTTTGGTTTTTAGGTTTTTAGGTTTTTAAGATTTTTATTTTCTATTTATTATTTTAATTTTTTTTTGTTTATAATATACAATTCTTTTTTTTTTTTTGTTCCTTATTAATTACAAGTTTTTTAAATTTATATACATTGCTATTTACAATTTTTTTCCCAAAGATTTTCATCACTTTTACATTTTGGCAAGTTCGCTAATTTTATTAAAAAAAAATTAATTAGGAGGGTGAAAAAAAAATCTGTGATATTTTATGATGAAATTACTTACTATAAAAAATCGCAAGGTTTTACATTTATATCTGCACAATCAAAAGCACTGTTACTATTATTATTACTGTTATGATTACTGTTATTAATATTTTGCATACTACTAGTACTGTTTATGACAAAACTTCTATTTCTTATTTTATTATTTATAATTATGCTATTATTTATATTATTGTTGTTAAAATTATTTTCTATGTTGTCTATATTTAAATTGTTTATATTTGTACAAAAAATATCGTTATCTTTAAAATAATCTTTTATAGGTGCTCTAGGGGGACTATATGATTTATATTTATTATAGTTTGATTCGATGAAAGCACTTTGGTCAGGTAATGGTAATTCTTTTTTCATTTTTATTTATATATGTTTAGAGTTTTTGAGGATATTGTGGTGAAAACGACTTGTATTTATTATTATTATTATTATTATTATTATTATTATTTTTATTATTTTTATTTATTATTGAATGAATATTTATTGAATGAAATTTCTCGTATTATAAAATTAATGTTATTATTATTTATATTTTAAAAGGATATAATAAAAAAAAATAAAAAAAAAAAAAAAAGAAAAAAGAAATTTAATTTCTTTTTTTTTTTTTTTAAAATTAAAAAAATTAAATCAATATTAATTTTAATTTTATTAGTGATTAATAAAAAGTTATTAGGGGAAGATTTGGATCATAATTATTTATTTTTTTTTTTAAAGAGTTGGAAATAATTTTGAGAAGAGGGAAAAAATTATTTCATATTATTAAAATTAACAAATTTGATTGTGAATATTGTGAATGGTTTTTCTGTCTGCACCAAAATAATAAATAAAATTAAATAAAATAAAATTGAAAAAAAACTTTATGCAAAGATTTAAGAAAAAAATCTTTTTTTTTTTTTTTTCATTTTGATTTTTGATATAGATTCAGCTTAGTTCTAATTTTATTTTATTTTAATATTTATTTTTTTTTTTATTTTTTTTTTTGTTTTTTAATGGGGGTGAGAAAATTAGTTTTGTGGTGTGTGTACGTGAATGTTGCTGTTTTTTTTGGAGAGGTGGTGGATGTGTTGGTTTATTTTTTTTGGTGAGATTTTTTTCTTTATTATTGGTTTGGTTTTTACATATAATGAGTATTTTTGTTATGATATACTCCTTCATTGATTGAATTTATTCTGTTATCCATTTACAATGTTTCTACAAGTTGTATATTTTTTTTTTTTTTTTATCTCATTAAAGAGATTACAAAAAAAAAAAAAATTTCTTCACTTTTTTATATAATCTAAACTAATAATAATAAAGATATTGATGAAAATGATTTTTAATGATGAGTTGGTTTTTTTTTTTGTTTGTATTCACAACCTTTTCAAGTGTTTTATATTTTTTTTCTCTTTTTTTTTTAAAAAAAAAAGACTATTGGTGTTTATACGAAATCACAAACTATCATAGTTTTTATTACATATAAATTTGCATATCATTTTATTATTATAAATATTGTTGGGCTTGAAAAAAAAAATTTACTGGAAATGATCATATTAATTCATTTGTTGTTTTAATAATATCTTCTTTTTATTATAAAGTCAATAATAATTTTAAAAAAAAAAAAAAAAAAAAAAAAAAAAATTAAATCTATCATAATTACTCTTTAAAAATTTATGTGTGAGTGATTGTGTATGTGTATGTGTATGTGTATATGTGTATATGTATGTGATTGTGTATGTGTATGTTCATGTGTTGTGCATTTTATAATTGGCTCCAATTGTTACCACCCCCAATTATATGCATGTGAGTGGTAGATGCAATGATTGTTTTTATTTATTTTTTTTCATCATAAAACCCACCAACAAAGCAAAATATTAAAATTTTCATCCAAATTTATTTTTTTAAAAAAAATTTCTTTTCTTTTCTTTTTTTTTATTTTTATTTTTTTTTATTTTTTTAAATTTCAAAAAAATAATACGAATGATATATAAATATTTTTTCAATTGAATAAAATAAGAATTTATAATAAAATAATTCCTTTTTTAAAACTTCTCTATTATAAAAAGTTAAAATTTAATATATATATATTTGGAAGTGCCAATATACATATAAAAATATTTTTTAAATAATTTTATTTTTTTTAATTTTTTTTTTTTTTATTTTTTTTAATTTTTTTTAATTTTTTTTTTTTAATTTTTTTTTAAATTTTTTATATTATTAATTTTTTTATTTTATAAATTTTATTTTATTATATTTTTTTTAATTCGATAACTTAATAATAAGTCATTTTAAATAAATAAAATGTCAAATACATGGGGTAAAGCCCTTGATCAAGCTAACATTGTTAGAGCAAGTTTTAACGATTTAGATAAAAGTGTTATTAAAGCAACTAGACATAAACTTAGAGTAAAATATCTTTTTTTTTTTTTTTTTTTTTTTTTATACACAGATTTGAATATACTAACAAATTATTTTAAATTTTATTAAGATTCCAAAAGAAAAACATGTTAGAAGTAAGTAAAGCTAATTTATATTATTATTTATTTTTTTCTTCTATATTAATTATTTTTTATTATAGAGTTAATTATTTATACCCACGAAAGACTTGGCCCAATTGGAGAGCTTTATAAAGCTTTGTTAAGAAGAATGGAAGAGCCAGATTGGATTGTAAATATTTAAATAATAGTTATAATAGTCATAAAATAATAATGGAAATAATAATCTAACAGATTTTAATTTCAATAATTTATATAGATTGTTTTAAAAACTTTAATTGTTTTTCATAGAGTTTTATCTGGTGGAAATATTAGATTTCTTGAAGATTTAACACACAGAGGAAATGTGTTCCCATTAGGCAGATTTACAGATATGACTTCCACTCAAGCACATCAACAATCTGTCTTTATTAGACGTTATTCGCAATATTTGGAAGAAAAGGTTTTCGCATTTAGAGAAATGAGACAAGAGTTTGACAAAGATACATTTTCATCAAAGGGTTTAACAATTGAACAACTTTTAAATAGAATTCCAAAGATGCAAAGACAGTTTGATGCTCTTTTAGGAACCCATGTCGAAGAAGTTTGTGATAATATTATAACTATCAATGCCTTTGAATTATTATTAAAGGATAGTTTTAAAATGTACTGTAATTTAAATGACGCTGTATTAAATATTTTAGGTAAAGTATATTGTATTTTATTGTATAAATAAATAAATAAATAAATATTTTATTAACAATTCTTTTATTATTATAGAATTATATTTCAATATGACTAAAAGGGATGCAACAAAGGCATTGGATATTTATAAGGTATTTATGAGAGAGACTGATGCCATTATTGAGTTTTTCAGTTCATCTCGTAGAAAATTCCATATTGATTTACCACAATTATCACCAGCTCCATCAACTGTAGTTCAAGGTTTAGAGGAATACTTAAGAGACCTCGAGGATGACGATGATGCATCATATAATAATAATAGTAGAACCTCTTCACAAAACAGCATTTCATATAAAAACAATAATTATAATAGTCACAACACAACTAGTAGTGGTGGAAGAAAGAGTAGTTATGGTTCAAACCAATATAATAATAATAACAATAACACTAGTAGTTATAATAATAGCAGTAATACAGGCAATAATAACAATAATAGAAAAAATGAAGAGTTAATTAGTTTCGATGATGATTTATTTGCTGGTGTTGCTCCACAATCAAATAATACTTCTTCTTCAAATTCAAATCCATTTTTATCAAAACCAACACAACAACAACAACAACAACCATTACAACAACAACAACAACAACAATTACAACTTCAAGCTCCACCACAACCTGCTTTGGACCCATTGGACCCATTTAGTGTTACAACAGTTTCACAACCATCACAACAACAACAATTCCAACAACAAAAACCACAACAACCTATTCAAATGCAGCCATTACAAGTTAATCCATCAACTCACCAATTTGGTAACCCAACTAATTACCATAACCCATTTGATCCAGCTTACAACGAAAGAGCCTTACAAATTAAAGCAGCTTTTCAATCAAACCAAAATCAAAATAACCAAAATCTTAATAACTTTAATAATAATATGAACGACTTTAGTTTTAATATTGCTAATAATGTTGGTCTAAGTAACAGCAATGGTATGCCACCACCAAAAATGAATAGCGGGGGTAGTAGCGCCGGTCCATTGGTTCCAATTAATAGACCAATGAATGGCAATATGGGTATGGGTGCCATGAATGGTGGCATGGGTGTTATGAACAATAACATGAATAATAATAGCAACATTGGTATGAACATGCACATGGGTATGAATGGTGGAATGCAAAACAACAATAATATGAATAATGGTATGGGCTTTGGTGGTATGCACAATAACATGGGTATGAATATGAATATGAACACCGGTATGAATAGCAGTAACAACAATAATAGTAATGGTAATAATATGAATAATTTTAATAATAGCTTCAGTGGTCTAAATATAGCAATGGGTTTATCCGGTAATGGTAGTAATAGTAATAATAATAACAATAACAGTGGTTTCAGACCTTCTCAACCATCACCAAATAATAATACAGGTTTTGCAGTCAATAGTAATAATAATATGAACAATGGAATGGGTATGAACAACGGTATGGGTATGAACAATGGCATGGGTATGAACGGCGGTATGGGTATGAACAACGGCATGAGTATGAACAACGGCATGGGTATGAATATGGGAGTTAATAATAATATGATGATAAGAAATCAACCAAATCAAATGATGCAACCAAATCCGATGATGCAACAAAATCAAATGATGCAACCAAATCAACAACAAAACCAACAACCTAAAGTAGTTTACTTTTAAATAAAAATCCTTTTTTTTTAATTTAAAAATAAAAATTTTATAGATATTTAAATAAAATTTAATTTCTTTTTTACTAAAATTTTATTTATACAATTCCATTATTTACTTTACAGATTAAATAATGATGAAAATGGAGAATTTTAAAATTATATTACAAATTTATTTGGTGATATTGTTTTTTTATAATATTTTTTATTTTTAACAAATCCATGTGGAATAATTTTTTATTGTATATGAATAATTTTTTCCAAAATATGCAAAAACTTACAAAGAATCATATCCGGGGATGTAGCTCATATGGTAGAGCGTAAGGTTTGCAATAATACAGCAACATCAGACCTCCTTAAGGTAAGGGGATCGATACCCCTCTTCTCCAGAACTTTTTGTTTTTGTTGTTTTCTTCCCGTCGATTAGGGGACTAATGTTTTCCAGAAATTTGATTTGTAACTGGCAATAATTATTAAATCAATCATAAATGTGGAGAAATAACACTGGCAATAATTAAACTTCACATTTTCTTCCATAATGATTATACTTTTTAAATGCTATTTAAATATATATATATTTAAATATTAGTTTATATTAGAGTTATATTTTATACTTACCAGGAAGCAGGTAAAAGGTCAATAAAAATGTTCATAGATTCGCCAAGAATTTTCCTTATAAAAAAGTAACTTTGAAAACAGATAGATCAATTATAGGAAAAAGTTATTATATACTTGTTTCTAATTCAGAATGGGTAAAATAAACTATTGACAGTGGATAATAACCACCCACTTTCACATCATGATATTTTAAACCAGGATCCAAATAATAAAGAAACTCAAAATGAATTAAATAAAGCTTTAAGGTTAATAAAAGAACAAAAAGAAAAACAGCAAATAGAAAAAGAGAATTTAGAAAAAGAAAAAGAAAAAGAAAAATTAGAAAAAGAGAAATTTGAAAAAGAAAGAAAAGAAAAAGAGAAAAAAAGCAATTAAAATTCAAGAATGGAAATAATTATAATAATAGTACTGTAAATAAACCAATTAGTAAAATAGAAAACTAGCTCATGTGAAAGTGGGTGTTTTTATCCAAATAGAATCCCTTTACATAAATGGTAAAACGGTAAATAATTTTACCTTTAGAATAAAAAAAAAATTATAAAATACATTTTAATAAAAAATTATTTATTTTAATTATTATACAAAACTTTAATTAATTTTATTTTTTATTTTCTAATAATTGAGTTATTTTTTAATTAAAGATCTAAAGTTGAAATATAAAAATTTAAATTTGCTATTGACGTTGGCGTAGGCGGTTTGATAGTGGATGGATAGTTTGATAAACCAATTTGAAAACAATAATTACAAAGATTAAACAAAAACCCCAATGTTTAATTTGTGACATAAAATGAGCTGATACTGAAAAAGAAACGAGATAAACCCCAATAATTTGCTTTATATGAGCTGATACCAAAAAAAAAAAAAAACCCCAATGTTTAATTAATGACTTAAGACGTGTTGACCTTGGAAAAGAAAGAATAAATAGAAACCCCGATATTTGTAAATTATATTATGGCGATACTGAAAAAGATAAGAAAAACCCAGTGTTTGATTGTGACCTTGGAAAAGAAAGAATAAATAGAAACCCAATATTTGATTTGTGAATTATATTATGCCGATACTGAAAATGAAAAGAAAAACCCAGTGTTTGATTGTGACTTAAAATGAGCAGATATGGAAAAAGAAAAAAACAAGAACATGTTGACTTTGAATAAGAGTAATCAAAAACCCAATATTTGATTAGAGAATTAAAATATGTTGATACTGAAGAAAGTAATAGAATAACTTAAAAAATTAAAATTAAATATTAGTTTCTTTAATTTTTAAAAATAAAAAATAATTATGTCAATATTAACATTATTGTTACCTTAAGAGTTGTTTTTATATACGACCATGGAAAATTTAGAACTTTTTTCTGTAAAGTTGAACTAATGGGATACATGCATTAAATTTAGGCATTAGATACTACTTTCTGCATAAATTAATAATGAAATTAATTAGTATATATTTATTTAGTATAAATATGAATGTGTAAATTACTTACTATAATGTCATTAAACTCTTCTCTACAGTTTGGGCAGGTTTTCATACGTTTAGACCATTCGTTGTACATATGTAGCAAAATTTATGAAGGCAATCGATTATGCCCATTTCATTAGTATCGATAAAATTAAGACAAATTGTACATTTGTCATCACTTTCTGAACGTTCCCTATCCAAATTCTCTCTTTCTAATTATTCTCTTTCTTCCCTCTCTCTTTCTTCTCTATCCCTTTGGATTCTTTCTTCACTTGCTCTCTCTTCCCTTTGTCTTTGTCCTTCTTCTCTTATTCTTTGCTCTTGTCTTGCTCTTTCTATTTCCTCTCTTTCTCTTATTTTTTCTGCTCTTTCTCTATCTTTTTGAATTCTTTGTAATGTTGATCTTTCTGATTTTTCTATTTGCTCTCTTTCTAATTGGATTCTTTCTAATCTTATTCTTTCTAATCCTTCTTTAATTTGTCTTTCTCTTTCTAAAATTTGGGCTTTTTCTATTTCTGCCCTTTCTCTATATTCTTTTTGTATTCTTTCTATTGTTTTAAGTCTTTCCAATTTTTCTATTTCTTCTCTTTCTTTTTCTTTTTTTAATAACTCCATTTCAACAAATTGTTTTACTGCATTTAAACTCTCTTCATCCTCGAGTTTATGTTTTTTGAAAATTTTTTCATCATCATTACTTATTTCATTATCAAATTCCAATGGTCTCTTCTTCATTGGATGATTGCCAGTTGATGTTGGTTCCCTTGTAGAAATAGTACTTGATACTGGCTTTCTGAATGTTTTTCTTTTTGATAATGATGAACCTGCAGAGCTGTTACGTGAATCAGATTCAAAAAATGGATCGTTACGTAATTCTTGTGGTGGGGATTGTTGTCTTGGTTGTCTTGGTTTCTTTTCTTGACCTAAATCTGGGAAGTCATCTTCAGTTGGTTTATTGACAGATGCAGAGGTTTTTGATACAATTGGTGATGGACCAGATGGAGATGCAGAGGTTTTTGATACTATTGGTAATGGAGTAGATGGAGATGCATAGGTTTTTGATACATTTGCTGATGGAGTAGATAGAATTGGTGGTGGATTTGGGGTATTAATTATTTGAGAAGAAATTGAGTTGAAAAATTGTGATTTTGGCTGATGGTGTGATGGTGCACATGTGGAAACAAATTGGCTTAGTGGGGATTGATGGTTTGATCTTATATTTTGGGGGTTTTGGTGAATATGAATTTGATCAGCTAAATTATTGTTGATTGTGTTATAATGTTGTCTGTAGGATATATTGCCATTATTATTGTAATTATTGTTGCTATTATTATTGTTATTATTGTTGTAATTATTGTTGCTATTATTATTGCTATTATTATTATTTGATCAGCTAAATTATTGTTGATTGTGTTATAATGTTGTCTGTAGGATATATTGCCATTATTATTGTTGTAATTATTGTTGCTATTATTATTGTTATTATTATTGTAATTGTTATTGATTGCTAAATATTTATTAATTAAATAAACTAATGAAAAAATTATAATAATAGAAAATAATATATAAAAAATAATCATTAATTGAATCATTTTTAAATGGTAATTAATAAATAGTTATTGAATGTGTAGATTATTATTATAAAAAAATAAAAGTATATGATTATTTGTATGTATATGATTATTTGTATGTGAATAAAATAATAAAGAAAAAAAAAAAATTCTTTATAAATACAATAAAAAAAATGTAAATTAAAAAAAAATAAAAAAAAAATAATCGAAACACTAAAAAAGAAAAAAGTAAATTAAAAAAAAATTAAAAAATTTAAAGCTCAACCACAAAAAGAAATGGAATCTAAACAATCATTGACAATGCTAGCATTTATTGATTTTTAAAAAAAAAAATTTTAAAAAAATTAAACAGTGTGTTAAAAGTATATGTAAAAAGTGTGTGGTTGATTATTATAATATAAAAAATTAATTAATAACAGTTTTAAATTATATGAAAAGATTCCTTACTACTATTAAAGTTATTATATACCATTTTAATTTTTTTTTTTTACATTAGATTTGGTATTTTTTATAAAAAAGTAAATTATTTATTTATTTGGTAAAAAATTAAATATATAAATAAACATATATTGTATAACTATATATTTTATTTTTTAGGGAAAAATTAAAAATAAATAAATAATTATATTTTGTTTTGAAGTAAATAATTAAAAATACTAAAAATTATTTTTATTTTTTTTTTAATTTTTTATTTTTATAATATTTTTTTTTTTTTTTCATCACCAAAATAGTTTGAACATCCTTAGTATTGGTAATGGATTTGAATGAAATTACTAAATTACCGTTTTCGAATGACCATAACCAATATCCATTTTGTGTGGTATTGTGTTTAATAACAATAGTACGATTTGAGGTGGTTTCTTGCACAGCGCTTCTAATACCATTTCATCAGCACAACGTTTAGCGAGATTGGCTGCAACCTTTTCGACAACACCTGCAAAAATATAACCAAAACTATTTTTTAAATCGGAAGCAACATGTGGGTAAACGGCTTCTAATGATTCTTGGTCGATGGTCCAGTCGACATCGGATTTCATTGCTTTTTTAACAGCTGCTAAATTTGCATCCATTTTAGCTTGATTTTCTTTTATTTAAACGGGTCATTTAAGAGTAGGTGCCTTGTGAAGGAAGAAGAGTTTCTAATTTAGCGGTGAATACATCATTGGTGTTACAGATCTTTGGACGGAATGAGATTACATACAGTTACCATCAGCGAATGAGTATTGCCAGTATGGTAATTTTTGATCAGCATCCACAAAAACAATTTTCTTATTTGGAACAGCGGCTAAGAAGGCTTCTTTGACATATTTATTTAATTATTTTTTGAAATATTTTTGTAGAAATTTATTTAATAATTTTTTGAAATATTTTTGTTAATGAATACAAATTTTATTTTATACTTTAAAACAAATTTAAAGATTTATTTTTTTAATAATGCAAAAAAAAAATAGTTTTAAATAATTTTATTTAATTGTAAATAATTAAATTTAAAATTTAAATAAAATTTTATGATAAATAATATATAGGTTGTTCTTTTAAAGTTTTAAAAAGTCATGCTCTAAAAGTTTTGGAATTGTGGGTCTTTCTTGAGGATTTCTCTTTAAACAAAGTTTTAAAACATTTACTAAATTTTCATTTGGATGTTTAGGAAATTCGATTATATGATTGGGGTTTATAATTGCTTGGTACTTCATAAACATGTTTGAAAAGTTCTTGAATGGAGGATAGCCGAAGGCCATTTCATAGAGAATGCAACCTAAAGACCAAATATCGCTAGCCCTACCTAGCTTCATACACTGCTTAGAGCCAGCACCTTGAGAGGTATCGATTAGAGCTTCTGGTGAGATATAATTAATGGTACCAATTTGACTATCTCTAATAATATTTGTAGTATCATCAGACTGAATTGCTTTGGCGATACCAAAATCAATTAGCTTTAGACTTCCTTGAACCGATACAAAATTTGCTGGTTTTAAATCACCATGGATAATTTTTTCTTCGTGAATTGTATGCACTGCTTGTAACATTTGTTGCCAATAAATACGAATGAAATTAACATTGGTTGGTGTTTGAAGTCTTTGCAAAAGTTTAGATAAATCGATTTCTCCAAATTCTAAAACCAATAAAATATATGCCTTTGAAATGTTCACTTCATAATCTATTAGTTGAATAATATTAATTCTTTTTCTTAATCTTTTTAACATTTCTATTTCATTTAATTGTGCTTCGATTTCACTTTGATCAGATCTTTGAAATTATAAATAAAAGTATAAATTAGTTATTATTATTATTAATTATTTTTAATTATAATTATTATTTTATTTACCTTAAACAAACATATTTTAATGCATAAATTTTTAAATCATGGCTTAAAACTTTATAAACTTTACCACTACCACCTTTACCTATAAATTCGATTCTTAAATACGGTTTATTATTTACCATTGCAACTTCACTCCAACTTTTAGCAATTTCGAATGATTTTTGTTTATCAAAATTTTCCTCAAAGCTTTGTTGCTGTTGTTGCTGTTGTTGCTGTGGTATTGATTTTTGTTTTTGTTGAGCTGTTGTTGCTTGGGCTTGATTTTGTTTTTGTATTTCTTGTTGTTGTTGTTGTTGTTGCTGTTGTTGTTGTTGTTGTTGGAGTAATTGCTTTTGTTGTTCTTGTAATAGTTGCTTTTGTTGTTCATGTTGTTGTAATTGCTTTTGTTGCTGTTGTTCTTGTTGTTGTTTAATTTTTGATGGTGGAGGAATTACTGGTGGTTTATTTGCTCTTTGATTTTGTATTGAGCTTCTTCTTTGTTGTGGATCTATTAATACATTATTTTGGTTGTTGTTTTGATTATTATTTAATGATGCTGTTGGTGTTATAGTTGGTATAAATGTTGGATTATTATTATTTTTTATTGATAAGTTACTATGATTAAATGATGGATTTATTTGATTTTCTTGTTTTTCTTCATACTCCTCACCATCGTCTTCACCACTATCATTGCCGTCGTCATCGTCATCATCATCGTCATCACCACTTTCATTATTTTCAAACTCTTGATCTTTTTTGGTTGGTTTGGTATCATCCTCCATCTCATCACTTTCCATCATAACTATTGATTGATTGTTTAAATTTGAATTATTTTTTACTCTTAAGGGTTGTGAAGTTAAACCAATTGGTTTAATTGATAGCTTTGATGTGGGTGTTGGTAAAGTAGAGATTCTATTTCTATTTGTTAAAACTGATGAATTGGAAGGGGCAAAGTTATTCGAATGAACTGGTGTACTCATTGGCTGCTGTGATTGTTGCTGCTGGTTAAATGAGGATTGGAGATTAATTACCATTGGTTGGTCATTTTCCATGGTACTATAGATATTCATATTATTACCACCATTTCTTTTAAAGTCCTCCTCTTCTTTATCAATGACCCTTAAGAAATCCTCTAGATCCTTGGTGGGTGATATTTTCTTTTGAATGGCTCGATTAATATTTGATCTTGCCTTTGAGAAATTAAAACTTTTCATTTCTAATTTTGCCAATAATATGTAGATATCTGATCTTTTCATTTTTAAAACTTTCATATATTTTAATGTTCCTTTTGAGTCATCGTCATCACCACATTCACTATAAAAAATTTTTTATTAATAAGATATCCATGTTAAAATTTATATAATTTAATTTTCGAGTATTACCTTTGAAATATTGCACGATTAAATAAAATAGAAGTAAATTCTATAGAGTTTTTATGTTCTAGGTTATCACATGCTTGTTGGAAAATTTGAGTAAGATATTTGATAAATTCCGGTGCTCTATTGTTTGGATCTCTAAATTTAATCATTTCACTTTCAATTAATTGATACCATTCTGTTAATGATTTTTTAATAGTAGATTTCTGTTGCTGTGGTGGCGGAGGTGATGGTGTTTGCTCCATTGATTCATTGTATGGTTCTTGCTCTTGTTGGTTGTGTTGTTGTTGCTGTTGGTTATGTTGTGGTGATAGTGAATTTGCTATAATTGAGTATCTGCTAATTGATGATGATGAAGACGAAGTTGGTCCAGTAGAAGAAGGTGTGGATGATGCAGATCCACTTGATATTGTCGTTGGTGGTGTTGTCACTGGTTTTTGAAATCTTAATAAATTAACTTTGTTATATAAATTTGGTGGATAGTTTTCATTTGTATCCATTTCTCTTTTATTTCCCTTTTTTTTTTTCTCTATTTTATATAATTATGTGTTTATTAAATTTATATTGAAATGTAAAAACTATAGTTATTAATTTAAATAATCATTTATATTTTTATATATGTATATTTTTTTTATGATTTTTAGATAACAATATTGTATAAACATTAAAATAATTTTAAAAAAAAAAAGAAAAAACTATTACATTAAATTTTTAAAAAAATAAAAAAAAAAAATTTTTGATTTGGCGCATTTAAAAATTTTTAAATTTTTCCCCACACAAACAAAAATGGATATTTTTTATGGAAATATTTAATTTTAAATACATTTATTTAATTAAAAATAAATCGATTTTATTGGTTTATAATTTTATAATTTTATTAATACTATTGTTATTTTTTATTTTTTATTTTTTATTTTTATTTATTCTTTGGAAAATTTTAAAAGTTATATTATATATAATACCAAATACAACATACATTCCACCACCTATGGCGCAAATTGAAGTGATTAACTCGACAATTGGTTTGGAAGTTTGATCTACTTCGATCATTAATGGTGACATATCGTATTTAAAGTAGATACCTGGGAAAATACGACCCAAATTAAAAACATTTACATTACGGTAGTCGTAGGTGTAAGAGTATTGATTGGTTTCTAAAACATAGTCATTCTTTTTATAAATTGCTGGTACAACTTGAATATAGTAGTTTTGAACGGCCAATGATTGTGCAACAATTCCAAAACCTTCCAATGGATTAATTAAACCGTCGATATCATCACCAAATGAAAACTTATGAATGTGATGGGTAATATTGAATTGGGTAACTCTTCCAATATTCTCTTTGGTAATACGATGAACATGGTGTGCGTGACCATCATGTGATTCATCTGCTGATAAACCTGCTAAAATGTGAAAATCACCTTTCATTTTTTGTACTTGGAGTGATCCATAGATTCTACAGCCTTCATCATCTTGAATGGGTCTTTCAATGAGACATTGTGGTGCGTCATCTGCAAAATTTTGTGGAATTCTATTTAATCTATAATACTCTCTAAGATCGTCACAGCTATTACAACACTTTTGTCTAAAAAATACTGATGAACCTTTTTTTTGTTTTGGGAATTCACATTCTGTACATCTACTACTAAAAATACCTTTTTTACCAGCTATATAAAAAAAAAAATAAAAAATTAATAATTTAGGATTTTAATAAAATTATTTATTTATTTATTTATTTATTTATTTATTTATTTATTTATTTGTTAATTGTTATTGAATTATAAAATTAAAATATTTACCCAAGGCAACACCTTTTGCAAATGGTACACCTTTTGAATCTAATCTTTCTTTAACAATTTGATAAGCTGCATCTTTAATTGGTTTACCATCGATCCCATCGACTACATCTATGGTGATATCTGTGCAAACCAATCTTGGAAAGTGAATGTCTATATTAATTGGTAATCTATTGCCTCTTGTAACATCAACTTTGAGTGAATGCTCCCTAACTGGGAATGTAAAAAAATAAATCTCTGATATCAATAAATATGCTGTAATAAGTAAACAAACAACTGTAACTACACCACCAAATGTGGATTTTTGTCTTGGTACATCGTCATCTACTTTTGGATAGAAATCAAATAATTTAACTTTTTCTAACCATATATTATTATTATTATTTATATTTCTATGTCTATTTGTAGTAGTGTGGATTGGTGGTGGTGGTGGCGATGTTTGTGGTGGTGAATCAAACATATTATTTTAATTAATTACCCAATTTAATTAAATCAGATAATATATGAATATATAAAAAAAATAAAAATAAAAATAAAAATAAAAAAAATTTTAAAAAATTTAATTTTTTTTTTTTAAAATTTTTTTAAAATTTTTTTTTTCCTCTCCCAATCAACAATGATGCTTCTATAAATTAAACAAAACAAGAACCACACTATCACACTATCACACACGAACACACACACACACAAATACACACATACACACAAACATTCAAATAGTATTTATTATAATTGTTTTTTTTTTTTAAAATTATTTTTTTAATTTTATTGTTTTTTTTTTTTTAATTTTATTTATTTTTTTTATTTTTTTTTCTTTTTTTTTTTTTTATTTTTTTTAAAATTTTTTCTTGTCGTTTGTTTTTTTTCCATTGTGATAAAAAAAATTTTATATGTAAAAACAATCAAAACTATCATCTAATATAATTAATATAAATAATATAACCTAAAATAATTTTTTAAAAAACGATTTAATAGTATATAAATAATAATAATATAAATAACAAATAATAAATAATAAATAATAAATAATAAATAATAAATATAAATATAAATAATAAATATAAAATAAAAATCAAATAATATAAATTAATTGTAAATAAACTATAAACAAACCTAAATTATAAAATAGTCCAAAAATGATATCAGTTGATATTTTAGCCCCTGCTTTGGTTTTCCCTGAAACACTTAGTAGATCAGAGATATCAAACTTCACATCAATTTCTTTAGGATTACCCGAGGAAGATTTAGAATTTAAAGTTTTAGACAGTGAACATTTAATATGTCTAATTAAAAATTCAAGTAGGTGTTTTTTAAAATTTTTACTGCCACTGTCACTTACTAATTTTTTATTTCTTTATAGAATTTTCATTAAGATTTGTCGAATCTCTATATGAACAATACATGTCATTGCAATTTAAAACTGATAAAACATCAGAGGCATTATCAACATTACAGGAATCATTATTACAAGCAACCAAGCAATTGTTAGAAAAACAAAGAATAATAGAGCAACAGCAACAAACAATTTTGTTATTATCGCAAAAAGAAAAACAACTAACTATGGAATCAGCACAATGGAAAAATAAATATGAAGAGGAATTCTATAAAAGAAAAAAGAGTGAAAAGGTTTTAGAAAGAATGAGAAAACCAAAACAACAACAACAGCAGCAACAACAACTATTAATAAACAAAAATATTGGCCTTAGTACCATTAATAATGGTAATAATAGTAATGTTTGTAATAATAGCTGTTGTAACAAAACCAATAATTTAATAAACAATAATTTAAATTATAATAATAATAATAGTAATAGTAATAATATAAATTGTACATTTTATTCAACCACAACCTCAACAACACAGCAACTTTCACCAAACCTCTGTTTTGATCAACCATCAGCTGATTATAGCGGATATGAATGTAGTAGCCCAAATTATATACACACTGATACAAGTGATGACGATGATAGTTTAGGTTTAGCAATGAATAGTGATGAAGAGGAATTTAATAATATTAGTAATGTTGTAAATAATAATATAAATACTGTTGACACTAATTCAACCACTCCTCCAAAAATTTCAAGCCAATCTTTTTCATTTGTATCACCCTCACCATTTTCCAATAATAATACCAATAATACCAATACCAATAATACCAATATCAATAATACCAATAATATCAATAATAATAATAACAGTAATAATACCGTAAGTATGACCCCAACTAAATCAGGTAACTCCTTTAATAATAACATCTCATCAGGTAGCAATACTCCAACCCACAGTAATTTAAATTTAAAAATTAATAACTTCAATAGTATTAATAACATGAACAATAGTCAAAAGAAAAGCGCATTCTCTTCACCAAAATCTAATGGATCATCAATGTCCTCATCCTCATCAAATAATAATCTTTTAGGGTGCAAGGAATGTGACTGTATTTCATTTAAAGCATCAGCTTTGAATTGGGTTTGTGATTGCGGCCATTTTGGAATTAAACATTTATATCAAGCCTCAGCAAGTCCAAGAAAGAAAGATAATTAATTGTAAAAAAATAAAAATAAATAGATTGTAGTTTTTTGTATATACACAACAGAAATAAAATAAATAAATATTTAATTATTAAATAAAAAATTAAAAGTCTAAAAATATTTTTTTTAATTATATAAAATTTATTATAACATTTTTATTGGAGGTTTGTTTGTTTTTTTTATATTTGATTTAGTATTTATATTATTTTTTTAATTGTTTTTTACCAAGCTCTTGTACTCTTTCTAAATTAATTTTCTTTGATTTATATTTCTTTGATCTTTCAATTGAGCATTTTCTATAAAAATAATCCTCAGTGTCTTCAACATAGAATAATCTAAATGTTTGAGTGCAAATTCTGCATTCTAAACCAGTTTCGTTAATGGTATCTTTCATAATTTCTTCCAAGAGTTTTTGTTGATTTTGTTGGTTATCTCTAAAGTTCTTTGGAATATTTCTCATTAAGAAGACTTTGTGGGTTCTTGGGTCAATGCTTGAATCTAATTGTTTATAGTCTGCAACATATTGCTTGGCTTTCTCCATTTCAGCCTCTGCCGAATGGATCATTCTTTCACTGTCAGCAATAACTTCTTCAGCCTTTTTTAACATTTCTGGAGTGGTTGGATCCATTAATTCGATGGTGAATGTACCTGCAGTTGGTTTTGATAAAGTGTCAAATTCAAATAAAAACACTCTTTCATCTTTTAAGACTTCTAATACCTTTGAATGATAGAGTTCATCTGACCAACCTGTGTATGATTTGACTTCGAGGGTAAAGAGATATAATAATCTTAAACAATTTTCTCCTTGTAACAAAGCTTGTAATTGTCTTGCTAATTGATTGATTAATTTGTCGAGTGTGAATAAAACATATGATGAAATACCAAGATATGAACGACAACTATCTTCGTATTTAGATTGATCCATTTCACCATCCATAAAATCTTGTAAACAACCAATAAAACGTTCATATCTTTCTGTATCGTTTAACCCTGATTCACCTTCGGATTTTGAATTAATATTTTTTGATGATGATGATGATGATGCATTTGAAGTAGTGGCAGTGTTAGTAGCTGTTTCGCCCTCTTTATTTTCATCAAGATTATTATAATTTGGTGCAATTCCTTGAATGAATCTTGTTACGTTTGGTTTGGAGGTCCAATGAGATTTGGCAGCAGATTCTGATAATTCTTTGGCTTTGTGTAATCTTTCATATAAAATTTGATACAAACGTAAAAATATATAAAAAGTATTATTTCCATAAAATATTCTCTTACTCTTGTTTGAGAAAACTTTTGGTTGATGAATTTGACCTATATCCTTTAAGCCTTCAAGATTATCTTTCATTTCAACATCAAGATCTGAACCATTGGACTTGTTTAGGTTATTTTCACCATCATTATTTGATTCTTTTTCTTTGGTTGTGGTGGAGGTTGAGGTTGAAGTTGAGGTTGAGGTTGAAGTTGAAGTTGAGGTTGAAGTATTATTTGTTTCTTTTTCATCATCCTTTTCATAGTTCAAATAAAAGAATGTTAATAGGAAGAAATTTAAAAAGTTTTCGATTTTTTCTAAATCTTGTTTTTGTACAATTTTTTCAGCAGCAAATAAAATTAATGATGCAATATTTGAGCAAACTTTATAGTCTGGTAAAAAATATAAGAGATGGTATGGTGGTGGTTGTTTTACAGTTGTTTGTTTACCACGACGACGTGCCATAATTTCTTCGCGTTCACGAATCTTTTCGGTGTATTTTTGACGAATTTCTGCTAATAATACTTTGGGTGTGAGAGTTTTCTTTTCAGACTGTTTGAATGAGGTGCTTTGATAGTCGAGGGAACGGTAATAATTCTTTTCGGTTGTATCTTTCCAAACCTTATTCCATTCACGCTTGGCTTTTCTCCACTCTTGATCTTTTTGTTTTAATCTTTTCAAAATAACTGGTAATGATACCCATGGGTTATTGTAAAGAGCAGTAATAATCTCCATACCCTTGCTACTGTAAAGTCTTTCGATTGAACGATGATGAAGAATATCAAGATTTGGCATTCTAAAGTTGTGACGTTCATTGTCTGGCATTTCAATGAGTGAATTTAAAATTGGGTCCAATACTCTGATGGTGGAGGCATTCATTTCAACAATTAAATCTAATTCGAAACGTTCATCTTCACATTTGAATAAAATTTCTTCAAATTGATTCTTTCTTTGACTCTTGAAACCAAAATCTTCACTACCAGTTGGGAAGGATACCCAAACATCATTTAGAACACTCTCTGCCATTTCACTTCTACCAGTACATTTTTGAATTGGATAGTTTCTTGGGAGAGCACGATAACTTGGACCTAATCTTTTACATGTAGAGAAATCAATTTCTGACCAAGCGTTTTGCTTACTTGGTGATAACTGTTCATTACGTTCCAATTGTTCGAGTGATTGATCGTCAACACCAATAAAAGTTTTGAACCATTCAAAGAGAGCTGGGAGTCTTGGTAATAAAATATCCTTAACCAAAAGAACCAATTCGGTGCGTGTGATAATATCTTGACTAAATAAATTTAAACATTTTAAAAATTCTAAATACAATCTATTATTTGGTACACCAGTTCTAACTTTATGGAAAAAGTCCAACTCTTCATAAGAGCCAAATTCACCGACATTGCCTGCGCCAAGCTCGCCCATTTTTTCATCACCTTTTTTACGCTGTTGTTTCTTATTTTTATCTTGTAAAAGCTGAGCAACTTGTTGTTGTTGTAATAATTGTTGTTGTTGTAATTGTTGTTGGGCAGCTTGTTGTTGTAATTGCTGTTGTTGTAATTGTTGTTGAGCGACTTGTTGTTGTAAAATTTGTGCTGGTGCTTGTTGGGATTGGTTAGACTGTTGTAATTGACGCTCTTTTTCAATCTTCATTAAACGTTCTTTTTCAGATTGCAGTGGAGATTTTTCACCCATTTGGTGAACAGCAGCGCTTATTTGACCCTCAAGATTCATTTGAGATTGATGTTGTGGCTGTTGCATCATTTGTTGTTGTAAAATTTGTTGGTGTTGTAATTGCATTTGATAATCCTGTTGTGTACCGGCTGGAGAATAATTTTGAGGATAATTATTTCTTGGTACTTTATTTTGATTATGTTTTCTTGGTTTTTGACCAGCTTGTTGTAGTTGTTGTTGTTGTAACATTTGTTGATGTTGTAACTGTTGTTGTTGTAACATTTGTTGTTGATTTTGTTGGCCTGGAACTACAATTGGTGCACCACTGGTTAATTGTTGTTGTTGTTGGTTATTATTTACAGCGTCTGGAAGGAATTGAGTGAATTCACTTAAAAGATCTGTATGACTTCTGAAAAGATCGGCAACTTGATCATATACATCCTTAATAGTTTGTGGTTCATTATGGTAGTTGTGCAAAATTTCTAAAAAGTGCCTATATACATCTGGTTGATTGATAAATCTATTTTTAATTTTCTTTACATAATTTCTAGCATGGTCCAATTCTGATTGCTTTTTTGGTTGTTGAGCTGCTTGTTGGGCTGCTTGTTGTTGTTGTTGTTGTTGTTGCTGTTGTTGTTGTTGTTGTTGTTGTTGTTGCTGTTGTTGTTGTTGTTGTAATTGCATTTGTTGGAGATGTTGTTGTTGAAGATGTTGTTGAATTTGTTGATTCATTGATGGTTGTTGCATTTGAGTTTGTGTTTGTGGTTGTTGCTTTATACCATATGACTGTTGCTGCTGTTGTTGCTGTTGTTGTTGTTGTTGTTGCTGTTGAATATTTAAAGTTGGCGATGGAATTGAATAACCGGTTGGTCTTCCCTCATCATCAAATTGAGAAACATCGATTCGATAATCTGATGGTAAGAAAGTATTAAAACCTGAGATTAAATGTTTATGTCCTTTAAATAACTCAATAACACGAGAAATTACGACTGGAGTATCAATGCTATAAAGAGAAAAAAAATTAATATTTTGGTATTTCTTTTAGTAAATAAAATTCAGTATAATAAGAAAACATACTTATGAGCTTTTAAATCTTTCATGATATCTAAAAATTGGTTGTATATTCTTGGTTGTTTTGCAAATTGTTGTTTTACTTGCTCTAAAAAGTAGAAAGCATTATCTTTTTGTTGTTGTTGTCTAATTGGTGATGGTGGTTGTTGTGGTTGTTGTTGTTGCATATGTTGCATATGTTGTTGTGGTTGTTGTTGCTGTTGTTGAGCAAACATTTGGTGAGATGGGCTTGGTCTTAATGGTTGTTGCTGTTGTTGCTGTTGTTGTTGTTGCTGTTGTTGGCTTGTTAAATTATTAATACTTGCTACATTTGTAGGTGAGCCACTGTGTTGATTTAATATATTATTATATGGATAACCCATCATACCATGCTGAATTTGAGATGCTTGTTTGGCAATATTAAAATCCAATGTATTTACACCACCGATGGGTGGTAAAGTTTGATTATGTGGAGAAATTGAATTTTCACGTTCTCTTTCACGTTCTCTTTGACGTTCAATTTCACGTTCACGATCTCTTTGACGATCCATTTCACGTTCATTACCTCTAAATGAATGATGACCACTATTGAAACCACCGCCACTATAACGATCGTTACCACCGCCCTCGAGGATATCATCTACATTACTTTTCATTGGCAAACGTTGTTTGGTGGTAAATTTGGAATCGGTCTCTAATGTATTTGAATTGGTTGGACTAATTAAAGAATTTAAACTGCTTGATGAAGGTGGTGATGGAAGTGTGGTTGGTGGTGAGATATTACGATCGTGGGGTGATGTTGGTGATGATGTATTTGGGAACGGAAAAGATGGTAGTTTATTACTATTTCCCATAACCCCTATGGTTTCTCTTGTTGAATTTGGTGATGGTGGTGATCCCGCTATCGGACTTGGTGATAATGGAGGTAAAGTTGGATTTGTACCATTATCGTCTCTACCCCTTTTCATTTTACTATACTATATTTCCTTTAAAAAATATTTTTTTAAAAAATATTATATATTTATTAAATATTCCAAAAAATTTAATTTATTATTATTGTTATTTTATTATTAAAAAAATAGATTTATCTATTATTAATAATTTTTTATTTTATTTATCTTTTCCTATTTTTAACTATTATTTTATTATTTATAAAGATGATAAATATCTATATATAAATTTTTTGATATGCTATAAATTTAAAATAAAAAAATTAATAAAATGTTATAAAAAAATAAAAAAATAATTTAAAAAAAAAAATTATAAAAAAATTTAAAAAAAAAAAAATGAAAATCCAAAAAAAAAATTTAAAATAATTTTTGAGCAGTTACTGAAATTGAGTACTATTGAAAAAAAAAAAACAAAATCTTGTGATTATTAAAACTAGTGAAATTTTTTTTTTTTCTTGGGCCAAATAATTTATTAAGTTTAATTAAATATTTTATTTATTTATCTATTATTATTTATTCTTTTTTATTTTTTTTTTATTTTTTTTTATTTTTTTTATTTTTTTAATTTTATTCTGATATATTCGAATAAATTTATATCATGACTTTTCGAAATCACATATAAAAATAAAATAAAGAAATAAACTAAATATTTGTTTGGGGGATTTATTTAATTAATTTGTAATTTAAATGGGTGTAAAAAAAAAAAAACAAACCAAAATAAAATAAAATAAAACAAAACAAAAAGAAAGTGAAAAACCAATAATTTAAATTTTTAAGGGTAATATTTTTTAAGAAAAAATTAAAAATTTGAAGGAAAATAAACTTTGAAAAAAAAAATTTAAAAAATAATGGAAACCAACCTATTTTAAAATAAAGGTATATTTTTCCCAAAGTTCCCCTTTTATTGCCGTTGTTGTTGTTTAAATGATAAGGAGGGGGGGGGTGGAAGAAAAATTTATTTTTTAAAAAAGGAATGGAAAAGGAAAAATTTAAAAAAAAAATTGAAAAAAAAAAAAATTTT